CAGCCAGGCCAAGTTTGAAGTAAGCTCGGCAGAGACTAGACAGGCAGGCCTGCTTACACATAAGTAGCATGCAATTCTGTGGGACATTCCTGGTAAAGCAATAACATCTCCATGGAGACAAGCAGGTGGCAGACCGCACACGAGAGGTTGCGTAGTGAATCTTTAAATATGGGTCACAATAGACCTACTACTGGACTACTACAAGAACTACAATCACTATACCACTACAAGGACAACTGTAGATAAATGTTTAGTAGAGATTTTTACCTTATTCACTTCTGAGTTTTTAGACATGTTACCTCATCAGAAACAGACCTGGAGTTGTATTTTATTTCATTCACACATGTTTGAGTAAGCTTTTATTTTTAGTCTGTCTAGATCTCCAATGCTCAAAGTGCTCTGTTCCACCTTGTGATGTCATGAAATTGTAGTTTTCAAGTTAACAACTCCTTTTACCTTTATTTCAGTAGAGATTGGCAATTGCAGGTCTGAAATCATCCAAATAATTCCAATGAAGGTGTATGGAGTTTAAAAACACAATGGAGCACTTAATGTATTACCACATGACTACACAAAGTGGAACATAGTCTTCCATTTGAGAGAAGAGTTGCAGAGTTTGTGAGTTAAACATGTGTGGATGAAACAAAACACAACTCCAGGTATGTTTGTGATGAGGAAACATTATTATAAAATAGATCAGAAAATATTGTGATGTGAGCCCTTTAAACCATGCTGCTAAACATGTTTGTAGAGGTCTGTAGTATTTGCAGTGCAAGACCCAATGAAGGCAGGATTAGGGCTGGGTATCATTGAGAAGTTGCCGATACGATAGTCTTTGTTAAACCACTTCTTGTGCAAAGTTCATATGAAACACAAACATTTTAATAATCAAAAACAGAGGAAATATGAAAAGTGTTGCATAAACGAGTTTCCTTCCTCTAAGCAAACAACAAAACTGTAGCACTCTAACAAAAAAATTTCGTAAATTCACCAAAAAACACTCTTGGTGATATATTGATACAGCAGCCCATGATAGCAATACTGTATCGTCACATTAATCAATACAATATATTGATTAGGGGTGTGCAAAAATATTGAAATATTGAAATATCGATATATCGTATCGTTTAATGTGATGATACAGTATTGATTTCGTGGACTGTTGTATCGATATATCACCAAGAGTATTTTTTGGTATATTTTACTCAATTATTTTGTTACAGTGCTACAGATTTTTTTACTTGTTCAGAGAAAGGAAACTCGTTTATGCGACACATTTGACATATTCACTGTTTTGATGATTAAAAATGTTTGTGTTTCATATACATTTTCTACAAGAAGTGGTTTAACAAAGACTTTTAGTATCACAGTCATGATTTAACCTTTATTTTTATTGAATCATATTGAATTGATTTGAAATATATCGTATCAAATCGAAAGTGCACTGTATCAAGGTATGTATCGTACCGGCAACTTCTTAATGATACCCAGCCCTAATATTGATCTTTCGATATTTTTACACACAGGATGTTGTTTTTTTCTTCAACATAAAACCCAAATAATTGCAGCTTTTGCAATTAAATCATGACCATTCAAACAGCAATGTGGATCATGTGTCTGAACAGTTCTATGCAACATTTTGGACTTTTTCACATTCACACTATTTAGCTTTCAATTGTTAATCGCTATGGCAACGGTCCTATGGATAGACCAAAACTTAAACTATTAATATTTTTGTATACATTGATATATTTTAGATCAAATGTAGACTGATCTTTTTCTCTTAATCCCTTATAATCATTAACTTGTGTAAAAGTCCCACTGCATTCTTTTCACTGCAAAATATTGATCCTTTTATTTGACAATAGAGGTGTGTGTGTGTGTGTGTGTGTGTGTAATGGTCCTGTTAATCATACATTTTAAATGATGTATTATTTAGATTTGCTTAAGCCTAATTTAGACCTGGTTTAGTCCTGAGTCTTTCCTGGACTAGTTTGGACCTGGCCTGATGTATTTCTGTATATTTTCTTACTTGGCAGAAGAAAATCATTAAAACTGGGACTAAAGTGGGACTAAATACAGACCTAAGCCAGGACTTTAACTGTTTTTAGAGTCTGTGTTTAATCTTTTTTTGGATCTGGCTTAGTCCATGTTTATTCCCATCCCAGGCCATACAATACTTTCTTATTCTGGTTTAATTTAGACTGATTTTAACTCCACATTTAGACCTGGTTTAGTCCAAGCTTAGACCTGGTTTAGGGCTCCTTTAGTTCTTGTTTATTCCCTGTCCAGACTATATAATGCTTTCTTGAATTTAATATCTGTTTTTAGTCAGAATTTGCCTCTTCCTTTTCTTGTTTCTTCTTCTCTTACTACTACTACAATACTACTGCTACTACTACTGCTGCTACTATATTGCCACACCTTCATTTGCTCTGTTAAAGTATTTTATTTTAATTTATTTCAACTTTTTTGTTGCAGAAACTATGTGGAACCAACTACCCGACCAGTATCTGTTTTATTGTGGTGAATGAGTTTTGCGAGCGCTTCTCCTACTATGGCATGAAAGGTATGTATCATCACATGCCCCACAGGGTTCAATTAGACCCAGTTACAAGTCTATTATGTGTGAAATGACCATGAAGAGGTGCACTGTGGGTAAATGTGTGACCAGTTCAGCTTGTTAAATGGTTCTTCAAGTGAGGACAGACTTTATAGAGGATAATAAGGCCCTCATGACCTCAGCTGGCTTCTTTACATCCTGTCTTACGCTACTTGTGAAAAATAAAGAAGCAAAATCGTAGTATTGTATTGTTTACTCAACTAAGATTGTGAACCACGAGTGAGGAACAGTTTAGCCAAGCCTTTGTTTCACAGTTTGTTTCCATTTGATCCTAGTCCATAGATCTTATTGCATAAAATAGGTTGTTTCTCTTTTCTCCTCTTTACCACAGAGATAAATGTGAAAAGAAAATCCATTTGAAATACTTTTAATGCAATGCTATTATTTATTTATTCATTTATGTATTTATTTATTTGGATCTGCTTTAGTCTATTCTGTGTGTGAAGAACTTTAATTTCATAATCAGTATGAGGTGCATAAATGACAGTGCAAAGGCTGGGTTGGACTGACCTTAGATTCACCTTAAAGACACATTAACACACACCAGAACTGAAACTACTGGTTTAATTTTAATTCTGGTGTTTTTAAGGAGAAGTAAAACATACTTTTGATCTGCTGAGGTGACAAAATGTAATAATTGTGCAAGCCTCGAGAACCACTACAATAAAGAGTCAGTGTGCAGGGAATCATTCAGTGTTTTCAGCACCAGTCACACATTCATTCATAGAACCATAGTTACATTTGTAACTTGGTTTATTATTTGTGGTTTTAAAATATTTCTCCTTCACATTTGTCCCATAGCTGTGTTGACGCTGTACTTCCTGTCGTACTTACACTGGGATGAGGATCTGTCCACGGCCGTGTACCACGCCTTCAGCAGCCTCTGCTACTTCACCCCCATCCTGGGAGCCATCATCGCTGACTCATGGCTCGGCAAGTTCAAGTGAGATACTACTTCTACTACTGCTACTGCTACTACTGCTATTTCCCCTACTACTTATACTATTACTACTAATGGTTCTACTATTTTTGCTGCTACTGCTACTACTGATATATTTCTATCTAATTCCAACCAGCTTCGATTGCTGTAAGCATATTGTGTCTAAGGTTATGGTAACACAGATACATATATGATATGATGAAGTGTTAAGTGGTCCATGATTCACTCTGTATACACAGTACAGCTCCACACTGGTGTATTTAATGACTAGATGTTTTGAGATGTGTAATTTTGGTTTTCTCCACAGAACTATCATCTATCTGTCCATTGTTTACGTCATTGGTCATGTGGTCAAGTCGGTTGGAGCCATTCCCACTGTAGGAGACACCAACGTGCACATGTGAGAAACCTCTTTAGAAATGTACAATTACGATACAAGTAAATAGAACAGAGTAACAGTGTGGTCATCAGCTTATGGGTTTCAAGAGGTTGTGTTCATGTGATATTACGACAATGTAGAATCTAATCTTTTAAATCGAGCTGGAGGACAGGTCTGAATTAGCTGTTTAAAGTGGACCTAGGATACAGTTGTTTTTCAAGGGATTCATGCATGTTTGAGGAATCATTATACTTCCGTATTCAAGACGTCATTGCTCTGATCAACCTACATTTTCTCCGCCCTCAGTACACACCCACACCCACTCCATACTCCAATTTAATTTTCTTAATATCTGCATGATATGCAGCTATCCATAGGAGATAGGGTAAAACTCATCACGTGGATTTGGGCTGTGTCCTTCATTTCTCTATTGGCAGCAAAAACTTAATTTTCACCAGCAGATGTATATAGTGCTCTGCGGCAGCTGCTGTCTCCTCACCTCTTTCACTCGTTTAGTGAAATGGGAGAGCTCTGGCTCTTGTAACAGCTTTGTTTTATCATGGACCATGTGGAGCTATCATCTCCCTTGTTTATTCAGAAGTGAACCTGAAGCCACTATGTTTATGCATGTTAAGGTGCTGCATTTACCCACTGCAGGACGGATTTTATTTTGAAAACACTGACAGTGCACAGACTCAAACTGCACAAGCTGCACACTGTCCAGTTCAATGTTTTCAGTGTTTAGGACTTAGGATGCCTTTATTGCTTTGTTTCCGGGATTTAGTCAAAAAGCAGCAGAATACAGGAATTAAGGTGTCTTGTTCAAATGGGAAGTGGGGATTCAATGAAAAAAGAAACAAATTTATACATGTTTTTCCATCAAGATATTTCTCATTTTTACTCTTTGTCTCACTTAAACAGAGGTGCTGTCCCACATTTAGTTGGTCTCCATATGATCACCCTAATAACAGGTGCTGACAACTCCACAGTGCTTTGTTGTAATGATGTTTACAGTGATGTCAGCTCCCACTGGGCACCACAATGATTCGCAAGTGTCATAAATTGTAACTATACAGCAGACAAAAGCACAACTTTTCTTTAAATATTATTGATCTATAGAATGTTGTGATGTCATTTTTGAAAAACTACCAATTGCCTAAATACATGTAAACCTTTCATGTGCATTGTTAACTTAACATCCCTTTGTATGTGCTTGTGTGTGTGTGTGCAGAGCTCTGTCCATGACTGGGCTCATCCTGATCGCAATTGGCACCGGAGGAATCAAACCGTGTGTAGCAGCGTTTGGAGGAGACCAGTTTGACGAGGAGAATGTGAGATATTGATTTAAGCTTTAAACACTGAATGTTATGAGGAGGTGATGGGTGGGACAGTGCTGATCATTGACTGTATAATGAAGTGGACTAAGGTAGTGTGACATCACCCATCAGCTCCAGTCAAATGAAGCATATTGAGGCTGGCAATTAGATGGGCAAATTTGGAGCCAAGGTCGATATCTGGAATTCCAACCGTGAGTGTCATAGCAACCAAAGAGCCGATCAGTAGCAAGGGTGTTGACGGTAACGCCCCTTCCCGTCTGCACCGCACTGGGAAAGAATGTGCCTGATATGTCTGTTATTAACGTTCATATATTGTTTTACGGATAAAGTAGCAAAATAAAAACACCAGGATCATTTAGAGCGTGTTAAAATGAACATTTTAAGACCAAAATGACAAGTCTGAAAGCAGAAGTCACATGTTAGCTATGTTCAGTTATATATATATATATATATATATATATATATATATATATATATATATATATATATATATATATATATATATATATATATATATGTCTTTTATGCGGATGGAGAAGTTCAGTGAGATAGGGAGGGGCCAGGATATGGAGGGACTTGTATTGGATGTGGTATTGGTATTGGTATTGGTATACAGGGAGCTAGTGGACTTGAGAATGGGGGTGATGTGGTCTGTGCAGCGGGTGTGGGGGACGAGATGGGCGGCAGAGTTCTGGATGTATTGCAGTTTTTGGATGCGGGTGGGTTTACTAATCAAAGATGAGACCAAAGGTTACATGGTTGGGTTTGGACTTTGAAATTGTCCTGTTTTGAACCTAATTTGCAGGTGTAAAAAAACAATAGAGATTTAATGAGGTTAATTTACGAGTATTTGATCTTTCCTGGACTAATTATAGAATGAATTATATTGACAAAAGAACCAAGCCATGAAATAGGAACACATTTCAAAAGGCTTCCACAGTGACAGTCTAAGTAAAGAAGATAGAAATTATTGTTGAATTAAATTAAACTAAATTATATTAAAGGGCCCATATTATGCTATGTTCTGATCTTTGTTAAAATGCTGTTTCCTCATTAAAAACATACTGGACTTTCATTCACACATTTTTGATAAAGTAATGTCATTATAACATGGCTTATAGCTCACAAGAGTTAATTTTGCATACTATAGGACCTTTCTTAACCTTTCTACAGTCTTAAAACATGAGAAACAGTTGCACTACCCATTGTATAATGCATTATAGAGCTGAAACAGCTTAGTAGTAGAAATATGTTTATTGAATTTTTGTTAAAAAATGTAGAGCTGAGAAACCATGTTCTTTATAGTGGCATGTTTTTGTATTTGTTTATGATCCAGTTAAATATTTGTCACTGTCCAGTGTTGTTTTTCTGACACTTACAATGCATTGTGGTCTATATTTACTGGTTCTAGTGACCAGCACTGGACTCTTACTTTTCAAGTTGCATTGTGGGAAATTTGAGTGCACTACTTTTTCACCATTTTGTCATTCTGACACCTCTAAAAATGGTGGGACCTCTAATTAGTGTAGGGAATAGTGTGGACATTGAGACACAGCCTAAGTTACATTTGTTAAAATAACCAACATGTGAATGATAAAACACTGATGCTAAAGCGTTTATTTATGTATGGACACATGCATCAGTTAAATAAAATAAAAACACACATTTAACCCAGGACTAACCCAGGTCTAAACCAGAAGTCTAGCCCAGAGCTAAGTTCTTACCCAGGTCTAGATCAGGACTTAGCCTGGACTGAACCTGGTCAACCCACCAGATTCAGTCCAGGACTAACTTAGAACTGATTGGGCCTAAATCTAGTCTAACCTAGATCTAACCCCGGACTTCGCCAGTTTTAAATGAGGACACTAAAAAGCTTTCTAATTAGATTTGAACAGTGGACATATTTTAATATATTTTGACATATTTTGCTCACAAATCATATGCACACTGGGGAAAGACATGTTTTTCTCACTTACATGAAGAATATAGGTACAAGGCGTTTCATATTTATGATAAACATTTTTGTCTTTCAGGTGAAAGAGAGACAGAAGTTCTTCTCTGTATTCTACATGTCCATAAACGCCGGGAGCTTCCTGTCCACCATCATCACCCCCATTCTCAGAAGTAAACTGATCTCTGCAATAATCTTTAACAGTGCACATACGGATTTACATGTTTTTCTAATTCTGGCTTGGTTTGGGGGGATAGTACCTATGGTAAATATTGATCATAGTTTTACATCAATTAATGTCATCAACATTTGCGTAATATATTGTGTATATTAAATGAGCTTTGGCCATTGTTTACAATATGTTTGCTGGGTAACAGTTTTGGAATTACTTCTACGCAAAACTGTCACAACCACTGTCCATGTTCAGCCAGGAAGTAAAATGATAAACTAGGAAAGTTTTTTTTTTGTACAATCTAAATATAATGATGTTATAATACGCATGCGGTTTAAAAACATAATGGAGCACTTCCTGTATTACCACATGACATCACAAAGTAGAATACAGTCTCTTCTGTTTGAGAGAAGAACTAAATATGCAGGGTTTGTGTGTGAGGAAACAACATTATAACATGTAACCTGTCATATGCACTGGAATGTCTCACTTCCTTTATGTGGTATTTATCTGTTTGCTAAGCCGAGGTTGTCTGTGCTCTAGGTGATGTGCAGTGCTTTGGAGATGACTGCTATGCTCTGGCCTTTGGGGTTCCTGCAGCTCTCATGGTCGTGGCTTTGGGTCAGTCTTTTTTATTTATATATTTTTTATTAATTATACTACGCCTCTCAACATAATTACTATTTATACCGTGGTCAGTGAGAATGTATTGATGCATTATTAATCAGCACACTACTGGGCTCGTAGCATGAAGTCAAGAAAACTCTCTCACTTACAGTAAGTGTTGTTTCTTATACACAAATTACAAATTAGATTGTAATTTTGGCACAAAATTATTCACAATTTTGTCTCGACATTGTAACATTTTTATTTGACAATGAAATTATTCATATTTATATATCTTGATGTTGACATTTTCTAGTTGAAATATGCATTTTTTGTTAGCCTAATCAAACAAATGCATTTAGTAAAATGTCATGATGTTATTCTAACAGCTCAACAGCAATGCTACCTTAGTCTACTTTAGATTTATAATGTAAACTAGGTCTATGTTTAATAATCATGAGTCAAAAGTTCAAATGTTCTTGTCAATTTGTGAAACTTTAACAGAAAAATATTGTGTCTTGAGGAGGGAGGAATAATTCGGCTTACCCAGAGAAATACACAAGGGGAAGCAAAACTCAATGGTAGATCAGAGCTTGACAGAACACCGGCACCCATTAATCACTGTCTACATTATATATAAAGTATGTAATATATCACTCCACTGTGAGCATCATCATCACAACAGGTAAACAAATGAACTACTGTTAAAAGGGACTAGCTTCAACTAAAACGGAAATAACTACTGACTTGAACATCCATGGACAGACAAAAGGTTGTCAGTTTTAAAAGTGAACCATTTTCAATGGTGGGACCATGGTATAAATGGATTAAACAACAAGAAGCAGTGTGATACAGTTTTAACGCACTGGCTCATTGTTTTATCTTTACATGGATGTATATTTCAATAAATGGCTGATAGAGCAATCGTTTGCCGTGGTCAGCAGTATTTATCGTGGTAGTACCTTTGTACTAGGGAGAATAGACTACTATTGTTGTCATAACTGCTAGTGTTGTCACGATTATAAACTGAAACTCAATTTGAAACTCAATAATTATTTAGTTTATAAAATGTAAATTTCAACATTAAATAGTCTGGCCTTATATCTGTGTAATTCCACAGTCGTCCTGGTAGGTTCCATAATGGTCCATGAGCATATATTGGTGTTACATTTGTTCTGATACAGCTCAAGATCATTCTAAGCCTATTTGGGAAAGGTTCGTTTTTGTCCTGTGAATGGGGCGTTTTTGGTATTGATACTTGCACAAATGAGTATCTAGTGTCATTACTAATTTTAGAATAAATTAGAATCAGATTTTTTAACAAACCTACTAACTGTGTTTAATTGCAGCTCATGTTTTGAATTTGTGAATATTTTTTTGGGATAATCAATTAGTGTTCATTGTCATATTTAATATGTTGTGACAGATTGGTTATACACACAGTAAACCATTAGGAAATTCATCTTCGCTAAAGGGTCAAATCTGGCCCCTAGTGCTGATCCTCTGACTTCCTTTGATAAACATTATTGCACACAACATTTGTTAAAGGGGACATATTATACAAAATCAATTTTAACAAGCATTTAACCATGTTATGATCATTTCCCCTTATTATTAGAGTTGTATATTGATTGATTCATGCACGTTTGAGTAATTCTGTTTTGTTCTGCATTCATCATCATTGAACAGGAGAGTTTTCAGTTTGAGAGAAGCACTCAGTCTAAATATACAGAGTTTGTGTGTTAAATATTTGAGAATGAAACAAACACAACTCCATGTATGTTTGTGATGAGGAAACATTATAACATAGATCCAATAATAGCATAATATGTGCTTTTGGTCTTGATTTACTGCTGGTTCAGACCTGGTTTAGTTCCTGTTTAGTGTTTATTATTAGTGAGAGTCACTGATGTGGCATTATGTATGTCCCAGGAATTTATAGCTTCTGATTGAACATACATTACCCATGATCCTCTGCTTGGGCCTGAATGTTTGGACTGGTCTCTTGATGAAAGCCACTCCTCACTCGCAGTGACAGTCTGTTGTATCAGTCTCTCTCTGGTTATAAAGGGTCAGTGATCATCTGACCCAGAACTATTCTAAACAAACCAGGATTCTCTTATCTGCAGACACAGTACAGTTTACTGCTGTCATATATTTGTGTGGATGAGTAAACAGATTTGACAAAGATAATTGTAATTGTGTTTTTTCTGTGATTGTGATTAGATTTGAGATTTGATTAGCGATTAGATTTGCAGTTTATTTTTTAATAATGAGATTCTGTTCAAAGTCCACATTTCAAACACATCTACAAGAATTGACAAAAAAATAACATTACAAGAATTGCATTTCAGAACAATCTTAAATATATTAATGTTAATGTAGTTACAGTGAAATTTGTAGTCATATGCACTTTAACATTCTATTGCATTAATTTTAAATAGAACAGCAAAACATAAACAGCAATTTTGAAGTTTGTAGACAGTGCAGAGAAGTGGTGGTTGAGGATTATATGTTCTGTCTGGCAACAAGATATACTAAAAAACTTCTGTCTCCAGTTTCTAAACTAATGTATGCAGGATTTGTGGTGCCTGTTGAAATAAAACTAAAATGAAGTTGTTGTTAAACTGTTGTGGCCTGCTATATTTTTGCACAAGCAGTGTTACGTGTGGTAATGTTTTCTACTGAGGCTCTGATGTTACTCACGTATGGTTCACATGTAACAGGTTTACTATTGTCATATATTTGAGCTGAGTTATTTAGACCAGTGTTTCCCAATCTTTTTTTCTGGGGACCCATATTTTAAAAGTCACAAACCTTCGCGACCCAAGTCAATAGACATTATTCATAAATCACAAAATAAAGATGGATTTGATCATTATTGAACATTAATGAGGATATTTTATTGTTGACTGAGTGATTGTGTCTCTCTGAACAATTAGTATTACAGTATTTTTCAGACAATAAGCCGCCTTTTTTTCATGGTTTGGTTGGTCCTGCGAGTTACACTCCGGTGTGACTTATATATTAAAAAGTTCACACTGGGCGCTCTAGGCTTGTGTGTCAGTATCATGCTACTACTTCTGTACCACTGTCACTTCGCGCCCTACTGTGCCTGTCTCCGGCAAAAAAAGCCACAGTCCTGCTGCGAGTAGTGAAATATGCAGCCAAAAACAGTAATCGAGCAGCAGAAAGTTTGGAGTGAACAAGAAACTTGTGATTGACTGGCGGAAAGCGGGGATGGAGAACACAGCTTCACGGCAAATGGAAGGGTGCACCATGTAACTTTCCTGGAAGTCATTGGATAGATTGACAAAGCCTGGACTTCAGTTCCCACCAATCCCATCCTGTCGGGATTCAGAAAGGCCGGAATAATTCTAACTGGAACTGATGCTGAGACTGATGACAGCTATGCAGAAGAGGAAGCGGCGCTCTGTTTACCTCTGGTGGTCGCGGAGTTGCTCAGAAGTGACACCGAGGATGAAGAATTCAATGGATTTAGTGATTTGGAGTGAGATGGAGAGTTTGGTAAACTTGTTCTGTTCAGTTGTTTATGTGTCTTGTTGTCTGAAGAACTGTTCATATGTGACGTTAACAGCCTGTTGTTCTCTGTTCTGCTGTTATTACTATAACTTGCCTTTTCAAGATGAATTGTCGGTTCCTGGTCTCTGATTTTATAAAATAAATTTCCCCCAAAAAGTGCAACTTATAGTGCGAAAAATATGGTACTTAAGTTTTAAACAATGAAAAACAGTAATTGAACCTGCAATAAAAGGTATCCATAAGTATCCTGAAGTGTTCTGACCTTTGCTGATTCATGACTCTTCTTTTTGGACGACCAAGTAAACATTTCCCAACTTTAACTTCAGGAACAATTGTTCAGGGCAGGCATATAGGATTCGCTGACTCACTAGCACTGTCATGTTTCAGAACTGTATATTGCAGACCTATATTACACAAAATTGACTCTTATGAGCTTTAAGCCATGTTATAGCTACTTCCTCAAAAACATACCTGGAGTTGCATTTTGTTTCAGTCACATATGTTTGAGTAACCCTTTATTATTAGTCTGTCTACATCTCCAAAGCTCAAAATTCTCAGTTCCACCTTGAGATGTCATGAAGCTGTAGTTTTCAAGTTATCAGCTCCTTTTACATTTTGTTTAGTAGAGATTGGAAATTCTAGGGCTGAAATCATCCAACTGATTCTTGTGAATGACATCACAAGGGGTAACAGAGTGTGTTCCATTTGAGAGAAGAACACAGCCTAAATATGCACAAACACAACTCCAGGTATGTTCTTAAATAACATTATAACATAGATCTGAAAACAGCATAATATGGGCTCTTTTAATTATGGAAACAAGCATAAAAAAAGTTCCATAATGCACCTTTAAATGAATATATTTTGTTTGCAGTGGTGTTCATTGGAGGCAGTGGGATGTACAAGAGAAACCCACCACAGGGAAACATGCTGCCGCAGGTCTGCAAATGCATTGGGGTCAGTACAAGTTATTCTATATCTTTTAAAATACAGAATATTATAGCACTTAATATGTGATTTTTTTGCAGTAAATTTAAATTACAGGGTTGAATTAAAACATGATTAAACATTTGTTTCTGTTGCAGTATGCCATTAAAAACCGCTGGAGGAGCTCGAAGCATGAGACCAAGAGAAAGCACTGGCTGGACTGGGCTGAAGACAAGTACTCGGTAAGAAGGCACCTGATTGGTCCTGTATTAATGTTCATCTTAATTTACGGACAAACTTGTGAAATAAAAACCCAAGGATCACATTCAGTGGGTTTATAAGAACATTTTAAGGTCTGAATGAGGACCCTGACAGCAGTTACAGAGAGAGAGGCAATGTTTTTTTCTATAGAAGTCAACTGCAACCAGAGCTGGAAGGAACAACTTCACACTAGTGTTACAAATATAATGTGTCCCTGTGTGTTTGTGTTATAGAAGCGTCTGATTCAGGAGATCAAGATGGTGCTTCGTGTTTTGGCTCTGTACATTCCTCTGCCGATGTTCTGGGCTCTATTTGACCAACAGGTAGTAATTAACACTTTATAATAACTACACCTTAATTACCCTCAAAGAAGTGTGAGCAGAGATTTAATTTATGATGGACAGATTGTTTATTAAGATGTTTAAGAGTTAACTAGTTAAAGAGGGAGTATGCAAAATCTGCTTTTTGGAGCTTTCTACCATGTTATTAACCAGGCTGGCGCCCCCTAGTGTCCTCTGCTCAATTTCATTTCTCTACAGTAACTAGGTCAGGAATCCAAATACACTAGACGGTTTGCAAGAATCCCGGAAGTGCGAGTCCGGGCACCAGTCAGTCAGTGAAGAGCCAAACATTCTGTGTTGGCAAAAGTTCCCGAGATCGAGGATTTAAAGCCAGAACAAAAGAATGTTTGTTGAATTTTATCAAGGGGAAAGACGTTATTGTCCTTCTACCTAGGGGATTTGGGAAAAGCTTAATTTACCAGTTAGCCCTCGCATTACATCATGACCAAATAGCTGAGATTGGTTAAATGAAAAGAAATATCCGCCTACTGTCGAGCGAACAAATTCTAATGCTGCGAGGTCAGATGGTTTCCATGAAGTGAAACCGGCTGATGAATCAGGCTACCATGTTATAACATTCCCTCATCAAAAACATGCATGAAGAGGTTTTATATATCACCAGTGCATGTTTTGAACCCTCCTCACAGTTAGCACAACACGTCACCCATGCTCCTGCACAGCAATCTTCCCTAAATGTACAAAAACATGATACAAAACAATATGTGTCATGGTCATTTAAATATGTTATGTGTTGGCAGTTAGTAGCACATATAAATAAGATCCCCCCTCTTTAAATTACAGTTAAGAGTTTCAGGGTTTACCTACAGATTGTCAGAGATTAACACATTTTTTTTTTTTTTTTTAGTAAAAATGTCACTGAAAACTGTCCCTTCTTTCTGTGTCTCCAGGGCTCTCGATGGACTCTTCAAGCAACAAGGATGAACTTGGCTTTCGTAAGAATCAGATGCTTTTCATATCACAGATCTGCCAGACTGATAAAGACAAGATTCTCATTTTGTATCTGGGCGTTGTCTTGTGTTTTCAATCATTTTATGTTTTTATAGCTTTCATAAATCATCTATTATTTTCACTGGAACATCACTTTATGAAGTGACCAAGTTAAAGAGTAAGGATTATTATAGTGAAAGTTTAATTGTTTTATGTTTTTAGGGCTCTTCCTTCAGCATTGAACCAGACCAAATGCAGGTAACGCACTGTGCTGTTTTTTCTCACATATTTCTGTTTTTGTACACTACCAGTCCCACATTTGGACACACCCTCTCATTCTCATGTCCATTTTATTTTTTTTTATGACTTTCTGCATTTTATATACACACAGTTGACATAATATAGATGAAGCAAAATATATGAAATTATGTAACAAAGTAAAAATTGTGTAATAATTGACAAAGCTATAAAATATTTTTTAAAAAGAGTTATTTGACTTTATTGCTACATAATTCCATATATCTTCTGTCTTCTGTGTGTATACAAAGGTAGAAAGTAGTAAAAATAAAGTCTAAAAACTGAGTAGGAGTGTGTGCCCAAACTTTTTGAATGCTACTGCGTATTTGGGTTTGAAGTTTGACTAGTTAGCTCTCAAAAATATTTTTCCCGATATTGTGTCCTAATAATTTCCCGTATATGACAGTAGAGGTGGACAATATACCAAACCTGATATCTAACCATCTACCTACCCAGACAATATATATAATATATTTTGTGAAAGTGTTAACGGTCTAGATGGCGGCACAGTGGCTCAGTGGCTAGTAGTCACGTCTCACTGCAAGAAGGTTCTGGGTTTAATTCTCAGGCCTTTCTGTGCGGAGGTTGCGTGTTTTCACTGTGTTTGGATGGGTTTCCTCCAGGCATTCCGATTTCCCTTACCTTGATTTATCAGCTGGTGTCACTTTGTAGAAACCATCTGACCTCTCAGCGTTAGAATTTGTTCACTTGACGGTAGGCGGGTACATTTTTATTTAACCAATCGCTGCTATTTGGTCCTGACGTATGTAATGCGCTGCTAACGGTAACTGGTATATTAAGCTTTTCCCAAATCCCGTGGAAAGAAGGGCAATAACGTCTTTCCCTTTGATAAAATTCACCAAACATTCTCTTTGTTCCGACTTTAAATCCTTTATCCTGGGAATCGTTGCAACACTGAATATATGGCTCTTCGCTGATTGGCTGGTGGCCGCACTTCCGGGGTTTTCTAGTGTATCCTGACATAGTCGCTGGAGAGAAATGAAATTGAGCAGAGGCACTGGTGCCACCAGCCTGGCTAGGGTTCCCCCATCAACCCAAAACATCAACAATACGTCAAATCCTTCAGCGATGACCAGGCTTAGCTCAAGATCTGGAGATGGGTCCCACTGTTCCCGAGTCAGTCAGTTTCAAAGAATTCATTTCCATCATAAGGGATCAAAAGTAAAGTATACCTTACCTTACCAAAATTGGCACTAAACTAAAACTAAACCTGGACTAGATCAGGACTAGATCAGGACCAAACCAAGTCCACATGAGGACTATAATGACCTTAGTTTAGAATCAAATGGAACAGTCTCAGTACTCGATACTGTAAGCTCTTTCAACTGTAAACAACTATCATTTCTTTATGTTACTATATGATGCTATTTTGATTCTGATAAGCTTAAAGGCCTGATTTTTTTTCATGTATTTGAGCAAAATTTGTCTTGCCCCAATACAGATATATTGCGAAAGGTGAAAATAAGTCCACTGTGCACTGTGTGCATCTAATTATAAAGTGTTTGCATGCTTCTGTTTTTCACATTTTTAAGAAGTAAAAATCAGATCGACTTGTTAATTTGGCATAAATATTGTTTTTGCTACAGTATCCCCCCATAAACATTCTCCAGTCCACCTGTGTTAGGCTTAAATGACTTTATGGTTTAGTTTAGCAGTTTATAGCCCCATTACTGGCAGCTTACCTTTCTGTTTCCCTGTGTTAGATGCTGAACGCTCTGCTGATTCTGGTCTTTGTCCCCATTTTTGACCTCATCATTTACCCGCTCATTGGCTGTTGTAAAATCAACGTCACGTAAGTCTGATTCTGTCTCTTTTATTGACACTGAATGGCCTCTTAAACTGGGAATGACTCAAAACAAACGCTCATAACCCAGTCATGAGTTCAATAGTCAAACATATAAATCAACGGTTGTCATTGCTAAAACAGTATTATGGTAACTGTACTGGTGCAGTCAACTAAAAGTCTATAAACAAGACAAACCTACTAAATCAAAAGGGGCACTAAATTACTGCTTGTCCCCATGGAGGTGTTATTACTTCACCTGGGAATGTTCCACAGTATGGCATTAAACACAGGTCTATAAATCGCCACGGAGACGGTATCCTACACTACTAGGCCAGATTTATGGAGAGGAAACATATACATACAGTAAAGACCAGTTCACACTTCAGAATAAACACGTTTGTTACAATCTGCATCTCGGATTCTAATCCTTTTGTCCATACAGCTCCTGTTCTGCAGTTTAGAGCCCTGCACCCGCGGGACCTGACACAAAACAGTGCAGAGCGGGACATATTTTGAGAGCTCATTGAGGGCGCGGGTGGGAGTGGGACTGCATAATGCGGGAGCGGGCGGATGGGACAATAAACTGCAGTCCTGCAAACTAAATGTGTAAAGTGTAAAGTAAAATATACAAATAATTAAAGTATGCCTGTCATACATCATTTGTGCTGGATATTTTATTTGGCATTAATAAAAACATTTTAAGCAGCCTAAATCTGCGGACATGATCTAATCTCGTGCACATTTTAGACAATTCCTTTCCACTTCTCCGTGTTTGATAGAGCTTAAGAAAGCGAATATCTCCATCTTGCAGGGTTTGTGGGCAGGAGCGGGATAAAAGTATCGCAGTATTTGCGAGCGGGAGCGAGACTGAAAATTCTGTCCCTCGCAAACCTCTACTGCAGTTCACGTTTTTGCTTTACAGTGCATTATTCATTCACTTCATACTCTGGCATACTGGGGCAGAAAAGTTATGTAGTGCACCTTTAATTATATCTGAAGATATAAATGGCCAATGTTTTTATCAATATTTTAAAAGAACAGGTCTAAATGAGAACTGACAGGCTTAGGTTATATCACATGAACACTTGTGGAGGTTGCCACAGTCGTAGGTGGCTACTGTTGTGGCTGACCAGCTGGCACACTTAATGTTTTAACTTTTTTTTTTATGTTAGATTTTTATCAAATTACTTAGGGAATTTTTTGTGATTGTGCATGAAGCGAGTTATACTAGCTACTACTGAATTATCCCTCGAGGACAAATGAAGTGATGGTAATTGACTGAAAATGTCTTTTGATTTTCCGTTTAGACCTCTGAGGAAAATGGCGAGTGGAATGATTTTTGCAGCTTTGGCTTTTGGAGCTGCAACACTGGTGGAGATCAATGTAGTGGTATGTATCTATAAAAATAATAATTTCAACTAAATACACTGATTAATGCAAATATAACAATATTGATCAAGCAATTTATTATTAGAAAGCAAATCTGTATTAAATCTGTGGATTTTAACAGCAGATAACAGCTTCTATAATACAAAGACTACACATTTTGCAATAATTGAATCTGATTTGTTGTTAGACCTGTTTTTCTTCTCTTTATAGAAAACAGTTGTGGATCCGGCTCCGGCTCAGAATGCTTTGCTTCAGGTTTTGAACGTAGCAGGACGTGACATCACAGTGACACTGCCCAATCAAAACACAGAGTCCATCCAGAGCCTGCAGGTAAGAATAGTCATGGGGATGGCAGTAAAAAGCTACACCTTAATTAGCCTTAATAAAGTATAAACAAAGACTTCATTTATTATGAACAAATACTTTATTAACGTCCTATAATAGACAAAATGAACTCTTGTGAGCTTTAAGCCATGTTACAGTGTTGATACCTCCTCAAAAACACACCTGGAATTGAGTTTTGTTTCATTCACACATGTTTGAGTCATCCTGGTTTATTAGCCTGTCTACATTTCCAAAGCTCAGAATGCTCTGTTCCACCTTGTGATGTCATGAAACAGTAGTTTTCAAGTTAACAGCTACCTTTTGTTTAGCACACATTGTGAATCCCTGAGCTGAAATTATCCAAATGATTCTAGTGAAGGTGTATGGAGATCAAAAACACAGTGAAGCACTTCCACATGACATCACAAGGTAGAACAGAGTGTTTCCTGTTTGAGAGAAGCATGCAGGGTTTGTGTTAAACATCTGTGAATGAAACAAAACATAACTTCAGGTATGTTTTTGGTGAGAAATTATAATAAAGATCAGAAAATAATGTAATATGGGCCCCTTAAGAGGTTCGGCTTTAGAGTATTAATGAAGGAGTAACTAACCCTGAATAATTCTTAATAAACTATTTATTCATTAAAACTTGAATGGAGTTAATAAGAATGGAGTTAATGGAACAAAAAAAACCAACAACTAACCCTAACCCTAACAACTAAATAATAATAATAATAATAATAATAATAGAATGAACTCAAACAACTGTTCAGAGCCCTAAAGAAAAAAAAAAAAAAGACATGCAACATTATAATATGATCATAATATAAAAATAAATAATAAAGACCTATTCATAATGAACAGAGAGTTTATTAAGTGTATCGAAATTGGGATTATACTCAGAACCAGGACTAAACCAAGTCTACATTAAGTGTGAGCACACCCTGAGACTCATATAACATGGATGAAGTGAGCCATTTCATTAGTTCCTGCTGATTTGTCTCTGTTTGTTGAAAATATTTGCATTGTAAATTACTCCACTGTTTACAAAAGCTACACTGACGTACTACGATTACACACAGTAGTTTATTGGTGCTAGCATAGTACTAAAAGATGGACTTGTCAGAATTTGATGGCGGACGTGGTTTATGGTTAATATCTCTGTAATTACTCGACCGAGCCACATGAAACAAAACTGGTACAGAGTTCAATATTTTCAGTATAATTAAACAAAAGTGAAATAATATCTTTAATATGGGTTTATACTAATTGTGAATTTCCCATGGAGTTAATTCTATAATCAGATTCTATAATGTAAACACAGCCTGTTCTTACAAAAAGAGTTTAGTCGCTGACTGAGTGCATTATTTGTGTCAAAATACCTTTATTATGAAGTATCGTACTTTCTTTCTCTTACTTTTCTCTCTTTTGATCAGGCCTATGCATTTGAGGCCACTTGAATCACTACAGGACATTTTACCAACAAATCTAGAGGCAAATACTTAAAAGGTTCATTGTCTACAGATTTTATGGAAATTATATGCCATTAACCCCCCCCCCTCTCTCTTTCTCTCTCTATTTCTCCCTTTCTCTTTCTCTCCATCTCTTTCTCTCTCCCTCTTTCTGTCTCTTTCTCTCCCTCTCTTTCTCCCTCTCTGTCTCTCTTTCTCCCTCTCCCCCCTCACGTTCTCTCTCTATTTCTCTCTTTCTCTTTCTCTCCATCTCTTTCTCTCTCCCTCTTTCTGTCTCTTTCTCTCCCTCTCTTTCTCCCTCTCTGTCTCTCTTTCTCCCTCTCCCCCCTCACTTTCTCTCTCTATTTCTCTCTTTCTCTCCCTCTCTTTGTCTCTTTCTCTCTCTTTTTCCCTTTTCCTATCTCTCCCTCTCTCTGTCTCTCTCTCACTTTGTCTCCCTCACTCTCTCTCTCTCTTTCTCACCCTCTCTCAATCTCTCCCTCTCTCGTTCTATCTATCTCTATTTCTGTCTTTCTGTCCCTCTCTTTGTCTCTTTCTCTGTCTTTCTCCCTTTCTTTCTATCTCTCCCTCTCGCTGTCTCCCTCACTCTCTCTCTCTCTCTCTGTCTCCCTCTCATTCTCCCTCTCTGTCTCTCTTTCTAACCCTCTCTCAATCTCGCCCTCTCTCTTTCTCTCCCTCTCTTTCTGTCTCTCAACCCCCCACCCCCCTCTCTTTGTCTCGCTATTTCTCTCTTTCTCACCCTCTCTCAATCTCACCCTCTCTGTCTCCCTGTCTCTCAACCCCCCACCCCCTCTCTTTCTCCGTTTCTTTCTCTCTCTCCGTCTCTCGCAGGACCCAGCGGGGTATGTGACTGTTCCTCTGCAGTTGGATTTGCAGATTGGTTCAAATGGAGGAAACTTTCCGTGTGTCCAAACTTTGAATGAAACGAGCGCCAACAGCCTCATCGTGTACTCAGAGGGAACACAGCTGAAGTGCAAACTGGTAAAAAAATAATAATAAGAAGTAAAGTTACACACATATGCTCACCCCAGCTCTGTTCTTGAGTACTATCTTGAAGTAGAAGTACTATTTCAATCTAATAAAAATGGTTTTAGAGTAGTAATAACAATAAGCAAAATGAAAATGATACTTATTATTTGTTTATGTATCCTAACAGGTGGAAGACCATATTGAGAAAAGTAGAGATGGGAAGCCTCTTCTCAGGTAAGAGGGGTACAAATTTAGGCAGTTCATAAATAAAAAATATAAAAAAAAATTCAAATTAAAGGGACAGTTCTGGAATTTTGGACATAGGGCCTCATTTTCTAGTGAGCCAGAGTGTTGGAGACGTGTGGAGACACTTTTTAAAATATTCCATCCAGTCCTTGTATTTGCAGAGGTCGCTGGTGCTAGGCTAGTGCATGTCAATGGCCATAGTTATCCTGTCACTAAAAACAGTCTTACCCACTCCACAAAACACCCGAAGCAAATCTATTATGACGCCAGACAATTGATGAAAATGTAAATTTCAAAATATTTCAAAATAATGTTTGGAATAAAACTAACCTTGCATTGCATGAATTGTCGCATGTTGAGGGACTATTTTCTCATATATCAGTCCGCCGCTGCCAAACCTTCTATCAGTGACCTCTGCAAATACGAGGACTGGATGGAATATTTAAAAAAGTATCTACACATGTCTCCAACACTCTGGCTCACTAGGAAATAAGGTCCTATGTCCAAAATTCCAAACTGTCCCTTTAATAACCAACTTAACTTAAAGTCACAGTTTGTAACTTTCTGGGGGTGGCACATTACTTGCGCGATTTCATGGAAATAAAAAGTTAAAACTGTACTTTGGAACATCCTTCTTGGAAATTGATGATTTTATGCCATACTGTGGAATATTATAGCCAAAAGAACAACATTTCCATGGAAACGAGCAGTAAGAAACCCTCCTCCAGGCCAAATAAGAGTCAGGTTTGTGGAGATGTGAGACACATGTTTTTCTATGTTTTTCAGTGCTATAAAAACATTCATAAGAAAAAACAATACTTTTATTTTAGTCTATCAAAAAAGTTACATACTGTACCTTTAATCTAAGGTTTTTATACTTTTTCTGTCTTATGTAACTTTTCTGGCGAGGGGCCCATCATCCTGCTTGTCTCATGGTCTTATGGGTCCATGGAGATATATAAGTTTGATGTAATACTGTGAAACATTCCTGGCAACAAAATCTCCATGGAGACCAAAAAAGTTACATAGTGCTACAGTTTGTTGCTCTGATGGTTTGTTATGTACTAAATATGTCTGTTTCTCTTTGAGCAGGTTTTTAAACACTCTGTCGGAGGATGTAAAAGCGTTTGTGGATAAAAAGGATTTTAACGTTTCTGCAGGATTCACCATGTCTAAAAACGAGACTGTGAGCAGAGGAGTGTGAGTTTTACTTTACTGTCTAAAGTTTATAGACAAAAAGCTATTGCAAATTTGTTTAAATGTGAGAAAAACTGATGTGCCTGAAGGTACTGGAATACATGGTTCAGATGTAACAAAAAATGTAAACAAAAGAATGTAATCTGCATTATACATGGTTGCAGACTTTGGAGCTACAGATAAATACACTAAAGGAATGATTTTTGTAAACGTAATCATGAGAATGTTTCTTTGTCTGCGCCCTATGAAATAATGCTCTATACACTGTTAGTATGCTTGTTGTTGTTAGCATTACTATGACTGCAAAACTCTGGCGCCACCTAGTGCCTCCTCTCAATTTCATTTCTCTCCAGCGACTAGGTCAGGAATCAGAATACACTAGATGGTTTGCAAAAAAAAAAACTCAAGTGCAAGTTCGGGCACCAGCCAATCAGAGAAGAGCCATATATTCTATGTTGTCAACGATTCCGAGATCGAGGATTTAAAGCTGGAACAAAGAGAATGTTTGGTGAATTTTATCAAGGGAAAAGACGTTATTGCTCTTCTTCCTACGGGATTTGGGGAAAGCTTAATATACCAGTTCGCCCCGTTAGTGGCGCATTACATACGTCACGACTAAATAGCAGCGATTGGTTAAATAAAAAAAGTATCCGCCTACCGTCGCGCAAACGAATTCTAACACTGAGAGGTCAGACGGTTTCTACAAAGTGAAACCAGCTGATAAATCAGGCTAGCAAAACTCTGCTTTGGCTCCTGAAATTTGTGAAAAGTGCTTATAAACTCATTGTGGTGAATAATTAGGATGTTCGGAATGTAAGTGAGGAATAACTTTGGACCACTGCAAACCGTTTAAAATGAAGTAGTTCTGTTTTTCACGTTTTAAGAAAAATCATGTGCAGCGCCTTTAGTTTAGTTTAATTATTATTTAATGAGACAGGGACAGTGCACAATATCCATTAACCTTAACAAGAGAGATGCATTGTACCAGGTTGTAGCACCAATGTTAATTTTCACTTTTAGTGTTACAGACTGGAACAATCAAGTACAAGGGCACAGATCAGTAGCTAGGCTGGCACCACCTAGTGCCTCCACTCAATTTAATTTCTCTCCAGCAACTAGGTCAGCAATCCAGATACACTAGACTGTTCGCAAAAACCCCAGAAGTGCAAGTTTGGGCACCAGCCAATCAGTAAAGAGCCATACATTCAGTGTTGTCAGTGATTCCCGAGATCGAGGATTTAAAGCTGGAATAAAGAGAATGTTTGGTGAATTTCATCAAGCGGAAAGATGTTATTGCCCTTCTTCCTACAGGATTTGGGAAGCTTAATATAGTTAGCCCCGTTAGCGGCGCGTTACATACTGTACGTCACGCACAAATAGCAGTGACTGGTTAAATGATAAAAAGTACTGCCTACTGTCGAGCAAACACATTCTAACACTGCGAGGTTAGACGGTTTCTACAAAGTGAAACCATGGTGAAACCGATGAATCAGGCTAACAGATCAGTGCACTGACTTTGCTTTTTGTCCTCAGATATTCAAATGTGCAGCTCTGTCTGGAGACGTCAGGCAGCTGCTCAAATCAGGACCTGGGTCTGCTGGACTTTGGAGCTGCCTACACCTTTGTTATCTCTAAGGTAAAATTGCTGTAATTTAAACCACTGGGTTCAAAATAAATATTTACAACCTTTAAAAAATAGATCCATTTACCTGTGCACAAGTGGTGTAGCTTTCCTGGTCTGAGCAGCACTGGGCCTGGTTAGTGGTGCCACAGGCAAGACACTTCACTCACACAGCTCTGGTTACAATTGGTACTTTACAGTTGATGTCATCAGCATTCAGGGGGGTATGATACTAGCTGGAGGCACTACTCTGTCAGAACATCTTAGGATGCACTCACACCAGAACTGGCTCAGTTCACCTCAGTTCACCCAATGAGTTAAACCATACTTTGTCAGATTTTAATGAAATTTAGTATATAAATAATATCCAAAATGTCAAAGTTTAGTTTGATCAGACCAACGGTTTCTGAGATATCGCAATTTCATTTTTTCACTTTTTTGCGTATACACTGAATGGATATTTGGCATGTCTTAAGATGGGAGTAAGTCATCTTCTAGATAAATTTGTGTGAAAATAAAAAAGAACACCCCTCCCGATTTTTTTATATGTTGTAGTAGACATATGGGGGTGCATTTTTTCTATTGGTAAAGGTTGGGCGTGTCCCTTATTGTCAATTTCAAGGTCAAAAGGTAATTCATCTCAAAAGTACTCAAATGCAAAAATAAGATTTGGATTCCTTATGATTTCCCCTTTCCAAAGACACCTTGTTTTTTTATATCGGACCAGTAGTTGCTGAATAAATACAATTTGAATTTCGGCGACCACGCAAAAAAGTGAAAAAATGAAATAGTGTTATCTCGGAAACCGTTACTCCGATCATGCTAAAATTTGAGATTTTGGCTTTCTTGGCTATGACTATGCTATGGCCATACACCAATTTTCGTTGCAATTGGACAATATGAGCATTCAAATTGAATTTTTTTTGGGGTGAATTGAGGTGGAATAACCCAACTTTAAAGCTGTGACTTGCTCAAGCACGATTGCAGAGGGTTCAGTGATCGCACTCATACCTGCACAACCAAACCAAGCCACAGCCCGATGATGTTATCACACGGTGCTCTTTGTTTACATGTTTGCTTGTTGTCATGCAGCATTAGAATACCTGGAGTTGTGTTTTGTTTCATTCACACATGTTAAAGTAAAGTTAACAGCTACTTTTTTACCTTTTGTTTAGTAGAGACTCAAAATTTCAGGGCCGATTAAATGATTCTAGTGAAGGTGTATGGAGTTTAAAAACATATACAGAGCACTTCCTGTATTACTACATGACATCACAAGATACAACGGAGTGGTTTTACGTTTTTCCCAAACAACACTGGAACAGAGGTCAGAAAATAGTGAAATATGGGCCCTTTAAATGAAGTTATATAGTGTGTCATGATCAGTAATGTAATAATCAGTTGTGTTTCTTTTGTGTTGTAGGAGGGCACTGGAGTGAAGGTGAGCAAGATAGAGGATGTCGAAGCCAATAACGTCCATGTGGCCTGGCAGATCCCTCAGTATGTCCTTCTGACAGCAGGAGAGGTCATGTTCTCCATCACCGGTCTGGAGTTCTCCTACTCACAGGTGTGTCTCTGAACCAGGACTACACGAGGACTAAACCAGGACTGAACCAGGACTAAACCAGGACTGAACCAGGACTGAACCAGGACTAAACCAGGACTGAACCAGGACTGAACCAGGACTAAACCAGGACTAAACCAGGACTGAACCAGGACTGAATAAGGACTAAACCAGGACTAAACCAGGACTGAATAAGGACTAAACCAGGACTAAACCAGGACTGGAATAAGGACTAAACAGGACTGGACCAGGACTAAACCAGGACTAAACCAGGACTAAACCAGGACTGAATAAGGACTAAACCAGGACTGGACCAGGACTAAACCAGGACTAAACCAGGACTAAACCAGGACTGAACCAGGACTAAACCAGGACTGAACCAGGACTAAACCAGGACTAAACCAGGACAAACCAGGACTGAACCAGGACTAAACCAGGACTTAACCAGGACTAAACCAAGACTGGACCAGTAGCAAACCATGGACTTTGTCATCTGTACAGCATAAATTCACTGCGTAAAATTGTAGTTTCTTGTATTTTTGTCATATGTTCTGTAACCCCGCCTCCGCTCCTCAGTCTCCAGCGAACATGAAATCCGTGCTGCAGGCGGGCTGGCTCCTCACTGTGGCCTTTGGGAATGTCATCGTCCTGATCGTGGCTGAAGGAGCAGGACTAGAGCAGGTGAGGAAGCTACTACAGTGAATATGTGATTTTATTATGGTGCTGAACTGAGTGGCTTGAGCAGTTTAACCACCAGCGTGAATAAACAATGCAAATTTCAGGGACAGATAGACAGAAACATGGCTCTTTACCAAAAGCCATGCACAACTTGCGAAATGAGAGCGAATATGAGGAAACATGATCTTGGTTTGTTATGAAATTGAACATGACTGGTGTTTTGTGTTTCAGTGGAAAGAGTTCCTGTTGTTTGCTGCTTTGCTCCTGGCAGTTTGTATCATCTTCTCCATCCAGGCCTTTTTATACACGTATGTGGACCCAGAGCAAATGAACAAAGTTTATCAGGACGATGTCAATTACGGCAGCACAGAGGAGAAGAAGAGACGGCCATCAGATAGTCTACAAATGAAGGAGAAAGGGAAGAGCACTAAACTGTGAAACAGATTAGAGATTCACTGTAATGGCACAAGCAGTGGTGAAATCAAATCCATTTCTGTTGTACTTTTGTCTGATGAATTCTTTAAATGTGATTTGTGGTTTGTGTATTTGTTTTTTAAAGAGGAGGTATTATGCATAATCTACTTTTTGGAGTTTTCTACCATATTACAATGTTATTCCCTCATCAAAAACATACACAAAGTGGTTTTAGATGCCATTAATGCTTCCTTACTGATTAGACTTTCCACATTCAAAAGATTTTTATTTGAACAGCATAGTTTGTATAAAAACCTCTCACAAGCCTTACTCCAGCCTGATTCATCAGCCAGTTTCACTTCGTAGAAACCATCTGACCTCACAGTGTTAGAATTCATTTGCTCGATGGTAGGTGGATACTTTTATTATTTAACCAATTGCTGCTATTTGGTCATGATGTATGTAATGCGCCGCTAACGGGGCTAGCTGGTATATAAAACTTCTCCCAAATCCTGTAGAAAGAAGGGCAATAACATCTTTCCCCTTGATAAAATTCACCAAACATTCTCTTTGTTTCGGCTTTAAATCCTCGATCTTGGGAATCATTGACAACACTGAATGTATGGCTCTTCGCTGACTAACTGGTGCCCGAACTTGCACTTTTTGCAAACCGTCTAGTGTATTCCGATTCTTGACCTAGTCACTAGAGAGAAATGAAATTGAGCGGACATTGCCCATGCTCCCACACGACTTTTTTCCATAAATATACAAAAGCAGGATACAAAACAACACACTACAACTTCACAAATCTTGCAATGTGCAGTAGTTTAATTAGCGTGCCAGTTGTTTTGTGATATCGCTCTGAAGGGGGAGTGACTAGGGACGGAGAACAAAGGTATGGGGCACTCAGAGCATTAACGAAACTGAAACAAATTTTAATATGTAGTTTTCGGCGAATAGCATTTCCAAAACGATAAAGGGTAACATGGTGATCTAAATATGTTATGTGTTAACATTTAATACACAATAGAAGTATAATACCTCCTCTTTAAACTATTTGTAGATCTTTCAATTCTTGTTCTGAAAATTGCACAAGCCCCCAACCGAAGAAGAAATAATGATGTACGTTGCACTTTCTGGACACGCTGTGCTAGTCCCAGAGCAGACAGATCCTACTAGTATTTGGATTTCGATCCTTATTAAAAACAAAAACAAAAAAACAATACATTTAATATTGCTCAGTTTTTTTTAAACATTTATTTGTGCTTGAACTCAGCCCTGAGCACCTCTCCATGTCTCTATTCATGTGCTGAATCAGGTTGTATGAGGACTTTTTCCCACATGAATAATAATAATATTTTGTTTTAATGTTTAATTGCTGTGGCAACAATTGTAACTTTTCATCATGGATAGGAGTACCTGCCACCCTGTGGAAGACACACAGTTTTCATTCCAACTGCTTGTATCCTACCTCCAATAATAATGAAAAGAAAATTTTATTATTTTACTATCAGATCTGAATGTTGTAACATGCTGACTATAAGTGCATCAGGCTGATCAGTGTTTTAAATGTGAAATAATAACAAAATGACTGTATGTAGCTGTGTGTTAAAGGAGAGCTATGTAACTTTTTTATTGGAGGTCCTCAAAGTACTCGTCTCCAAGGAGATGGTATTGGGTCATTCCACGCCAAATTTCCGAATGCCCCCGCTTGACCATCTCAGATTTGACAGAAAAAATTCTAGGAGGTTCACACACATTCCAATAGGAAAAGTCCCAGATTTTAACTCCAACTCCTTGGTCATGAAATCAGAATGTTTTCTTATCTTAAGGCAGAACACCATAACAAATTTTGGATTTGTTAAAAACAGACATCTAGTCTGTCCAAAACAGTCCATTTTATGTGCTGTCATTTTTTTGGTATAACATGGTAAAGATGGCCCCAAATTTATTTTTTTTCACTTTTAACAATATCTTCTAGATCGTTTATCACAGAGGGTCAGTTTTAAAATACAAAGTACACAGCATGTGTGGGAAGGCGTATGTTCAATATCAAACCTCTGTCTTTGAAACTGCACTTTCCACAGTCCTTCAAAGATGCCCTCAGATCTGAAGAGCAGAATTTTCGAGCAAATTCAAGCCCCCAAAAATCTGTGATAAAACAAAAACACATGTGTAAAAGTCAAGATTCTACAAGTACCCCTTTCTTTCAAGTAACCCTTGAAAATTTGAACAACCTATCTTAGTTGTTTTTTTAGATACAGCAATCTGAAAGTGGCTCTATGGAAAACTCTGATCAAAACAGGCCAGGGCAGAGCTGACAAAATATTTTTTAATGACAAAACTATAAGGAGTTGGGAGCAAAAATTTGGGACTTTTTGGAATAGTGTGTGAACCTCCTAGAATTTTTTCAGTCAAATCTGAGATGGTCGGGCGGGGGCATTTGGAGATTTCGTGTGGAATGACCCTATTGCTTTGCTTGAAATATTCCACATTATATTTAAAATACATATAAAGGTACATTTAAAAGTCCCATATTAAGCCATTTTCTCATTGATGTTATAATGTTTTGTTTCATTCACACATTTTTAAAACACAAATCCTGCATATTTAATCTGAGTTCTTCTCTCAAACAGAAAACACTCTGTTCCACATTATGATGTCATGTGGTAATACAGGAAGTGCTCCACTGTGTTTTTAAACTCCATACACTTTCACTCAAATCATTTGGATTATTTCAGTCCTGGAACTGCCAATCTCTATTGAACTAAAGATAAAAGGTTGCTGTTAACTTGAAAACTACTGCTTCATGACATCACAAGGTGGGACATGGAGTATTTTGGGCTTTGGAGATGTAAACAGACTAATAATAAAGGGTTAATCAAACATGTGCATTCCAGGCAAAGCAGTAACCATGAAGACGAGCAGGTGGCAGACCCTCCACCAAAAAAGTGACACAGTGCACCTTTAACTTTGTGTTAAATATTTTGGTAATCACATATTTTGATGTCTGTGGAAATTGTACATTGTCTTATTGTTTACATTGTGTACAAATGAATTAAAGAAGCACAACATATCAGAGACTATACACAGAATTTAAACACATTTTTAGACCAGAGTTTTTTTTTTTTATTTAATTGTGTCACATCCTTTACTGCCTATAGTGAGGTCATTTCTGGCAGCTTTTCTCCATATTGATACTTTGCTGCTCCACATTGCCTGAGGGTGTGATGCTAACTGTAGGCTCTTCTCTGTCTGTCTGCTTTGTTAGACTTTAATCTGAGCTTTATTTGAACACATTCTAATACAAGAAAGTAAGAACTGTCTTAATTGGAACTACAAGTGAGCTGATTTTTAGCAAAAATTTAAGCAAAACAAGTATGTAAGGAAAATTGTAATGCACTCGGTAAGTCAGCGTAGTCATATTTTCTTTGTGTTTTAGTGATTTTTAAGCAGCTTTTCTTCTTTCTTTTTTTTTTTTTTTTGCATATATATTTATTGCCTTTTAGTTTAAACAAAATAATCAACAAAATAACAATATAAAACAAAATAAAATAAAACAAACATTGGCCCATTCATATATTAGACACAGATACACCCATTTCAAAATGTAAATACCCCATTCATAAGAGCTGAAATCTCAAGTCCAGTATACATCAAAAAAGTTTCCCAATTCTTCTTAAAGATATTGTCCTTATGATGAAGCAGACACGTCAGGTAGAAACAAAACCAGGAACCATCTGCCACTGAGTTTTAGAGCGGGTCTGGTCAGATACCCAATTAACTAGTAGACTTTTTCTTGCACAAAAAGCCAGAATCCCGTATAATTTTCTATTATACTTGTCTTTTACAATGGAGGCAATTACACCAAGCAACAGAAATAAATTTACAGACATAATTTTTTGTATTTCTTGTCCAATCATTTGCCAGAATTGTTGCACTTTTGGACAGGACCAAAAACAGTGTGTAAGGGTGCCAGTCTCACTCTTGCACTTCAAACACAATGGTGAAGAGCTAGGTTTATTACGGCGATAAGGGAAGATGAGCTCTGTGGAGAATTATAAGATGAGCTGCTTTAAACCTATAGATGCATCAAGAATTCCAGCGTTCCGGTCATTGTGCAATGCATACTGGGAAGGATTTTCTGAAAAAGTGAGCATCAAACCGCCTTGTCTGTTTTCCCAGTGGGATGCGTCTATTGACAAAGCCAGTCTTTTCTAGTCTTTTGAACCATGTGACTTTTGTTTCTGGTTCTGATATTGTCATATTTTAGTTTTGGGATTCGGACATCGTTAATTGTGCGGTGGTTGGATGTCCTAACAGCGGAAAATGACTCAAGAAATTTGTTTGCGAACTCCATAAATGCAAAAGGGAATCAGATCTGTGTGACTGCAAAACCTCTGTTCAAACTGTTTCCCTTCCCAACGGAATTGAAAAATAGTGAAAGGTGAAGGCGATGAGCAGTATTGATCCACAGGAAGGACGAAAAAGGAAACCTTTCACTATCTAAGTCATCCCGAGTTTGCAGCGAACATTTTGTATGTGAAGCGCCATCAAAGCAAAATCCCAATCCCTCGCTCAACCGCGGTTACAAATGTAAAAAGTCAACGCCAAAGCGAAAGGCACCGGCTGTTTGCCAAGAAACACCTTCCACTGCAAAGTGACCAAGACATGATGTTGCTGTAAAACCACAAGAACAAGAAAGTGTGAGCTCAGCCTGCTTGTCTTCTGTACCTCTCGATTAACAAACGGGATCCCGCTTTGATGGCGCTCCACATACAAAATGTTCACTGCAAACTGATTTCTTAGGCAGCCAAAGGTTTCCTTTTTCATCCTTCCTGTGGATCAATCCTGCCCATCGCCTTCGCCTTTCACTATTTTTCAATTCCATTAGGAAGGGAAACAGTTTGAACAAAGGTTTGCAGTCACACAGATCTGATTCCCTTTTGCATTTATGGAGTTTGTTACGACCAGCTCGTTTGGGGTGAGGGAAGTAACAAAATAAACAAGATGTAAATGGAATAAATTAAATAATGTTTAATAACAGGAATGTAAAGGTAAATTAACAAAACACTAAAAATATACAGAAAGCAACCTAAACTAAGAAACAGAACAACAGAATAAACAGAGTTTTGTGCCACAAAGGGTCACGCAGGCTTACACAAAACGTGGTAAAACTAAGGACACGCATGAAACCAACACAAGTTCCCCAAATTAAACCACATAAGCCCACAAACAGAATCGAGTGACCAAATCAAAAAGGCACAAAACAGAACTAAACTAAACTACACACACACAAACAAAATGGCAGACTGGCCACCAAGACCAGCAGCCCCGATCAGGTGCTGGTAATCCCTTAAAAGGGGGAGGTGGCTGCAAGGTGGGCTTGGACTTGCCCCACCAATCACGGACCAGGCTCGTGCAGCAGGAATCAAGAGAACTCTGCAGAAATATTACAACTAAGGCCTGGGGCCGTAACAGAGTTCGCAAACAAATTTCTAGAGCCATTTTCCGGTGTTAGGATCCAACAACGTCACAATTACGATGTCCGAATCCCCAAATTAAATATGACAATATCAGAACCAGAAACAAAAGTGATATGGTTCAAAAGACTAGAAAAGACTGGCTTTGTCAACAGACGCATCCCACTGGGAAAACAAACACGGCAGTTTGATGCTCACTTTTTCGGTAAATCCTTCCCAGTATGCATTGCACAATGACCGGAAGTCTGAAATTCTTGATGCATCTATTACAAACACAAAGGGTCCAGACACTTTCCCACTCACCATCAGTAACTGTTCAGCTAAATTCGCTCTCCCAGATTAAGCGTTTTTTCTGTATTTTAGAATATATGCCTCTTTACTGTTGGCAGGGATCAAATTGGTCAAAAGTAGTGACACTTGGGACATTTCTTGTATAAAACTGGGACAAATGAATGGTTTTGGATAAATCTTCTGGGACAGGGGACACAGGGCTCACAACTGGGACTGTCCCGGGTAAATAAGGACGTCGGTCACCTTAGTAATATGCTCCCTTTAGCTCTACAGTTTGCATGCTGCGCTCAAAATAGCAGTTTCATTCATGCTAATCTAACCAATTTTCTATCAATCACTGCCACATAACACTCAGCTTTCTACAGCCAGCGACGACTATTCTGGTCACTAAAAGACGTTTCCCCATTACCCTGTTTACAAATGGCCCTCTCTGAATGAATTAGCCTGAGCTATGAAACGTATTAGCATCCAAAACCGCAGTGAGTGCCTTGTTTATTGTTGTATGGGACAAAGAAAACACAATTAGGATGTGAGAGGAGCACAGAAGGAGCCTGTGCATCTGAATGAGGACACTTTAGACCATTACGATAAGTTGTGGTCTGAAATCGTAAGAGGGATGGACAAAGAAACTAGATTTGACCTGTTTTCATGTTTCTCTAATTTATTACTTTGGTGAAATTATCTGTGGTAAACCTTTATCACAGTTTCAGATCAGCAGTGGTGGAACGTAACAAAGTAGTAAAGTATTATAGGTCTACTTAAAGGTGCACTATGCAAGTGTTTGGTTGGGGGTTTGTCACCTGCTTGTTTCTGTGGATATGTCACTGCCTGGAATGTTCCACAGTATGACATAAAAGTGGGACAGACAGATAAGTACGTGTATCATTCATTCATTCGTTTTTCAAAATAAAACCAAAAATAAGACAATGAAAAAAACAACTATTTCCTTCATTATTTGTCTCCAAAACCAAAATGAAAAAATGGATAATGATTTTTTTTTTTTTTTACTTTTCAATTTTGTGTTTAAATGAATAATGGAAAAAACAGATAACGGCTGTGCTCTGTTTCCGTGACTTAAACTACGATGCCAAACTTTTGCACAGCATACGGACTGAACCAAGACTAAACTAGGACTAAAAAGTCCTGGTCTCAGTCCCAGTCTGGTCCCGGTCTCAATCCTGATCACCAGACAGTGTACGTGGGCGCACCTCCGGGCCCATCCCAACACTCAGTCCTGGTTTAGTCCTGGTTTAGTCCTGGTATAGTCCTGGCGTAGTCCTGTTTCAGTTCTGGTTCAGTCTGTTTTTTTTCATTATTTATTTAAACATAAAATCAAAAACTAAAAAAACTAATTGTTATCCATGTTTTCATTTTAGTTTTGGAGAGATTTTTGGTTTGATTTTGAAAAATGAATAAACGAATGATACACGGATTCAGATACTTTACTGATCCTGAGGGAAATTATGTTTTGCTTCAGTAAACTGTGACAGTTACTGTTGCTGCAACATTTCCACTGCACTTCTCAATGGCCTTTGTGTCTCAGTCAAAGGTCTGAGTGCAGTTTAACAGGAGGACTGGTCAGGGAGGGTCGGCAAATCTGTGTCACGGGAGTTTGAGGAGAGGAAGAGCCAAAAGTGTCAGTCCTCTGTGTCCTGCAGCATCACAGCAGTGTTCAGGATGAGCCAAGCAAACACAACAAGAAGGCCTCGTTCTTACTCTGCTCTGGTATTTCACATTTTTATTCATTCTCTTTTCACAAAATCCAAAAGTCCCTTCCTTGTGTCTTTTGAACTGCACATGCTGCACTTCTTAGTTGATCCAAATCCCATGATATGATGTAAAAACTGAGATCAAAAACCAAAAGATTTCAAAATCTGCTCAGTGTGTGAGCCAGATAACCACAAAAGGTACCAGAAAAGTTATATTTTACACCTTGTTACTTTACATAATCTTGTAAAGAGCTGGAAGAGGATGACAAAAAAGAAGGATGGACAAGGAAACAGGGTCTGACTTAAGCCGGACGGAGCGTGTGTGGTTTGGCTCTGATACATGTGAAGATGGGTTGATGGATGCTAAGAGGTTAAATGAGATAAATGAATGAAAAATGCTCACTTCAAATGTAGATTTGAAATGGAGTGATATGTGGCTTCTAATCAGTGTATTATCGCAATTTCCATTTATGACAGTTATTGGCTGTGCTTGGCTAAATGAATGGTTGTCTAATGTGATTTGACTTTATCTTTTTTCCTACTGTACATATGTGGGTTTTTATTTCTGTGTTAGAGCTTAAAGGTCCTATATTATGCAAAATTGATTCTTGTGAGCTTTAAGGCATGTTAGCAAGTTGTTACCATACCATACCATCATTTTTTTTGTTGTATTGTCCTTTTTAAAGTGGAGTTTACAGTGGAGTGTTTTAAGTCTCGTCTTAAAAGCCACTTTTATTCCCTGGCTTGTAACACTGCGTGAGTTGTGTGGTCCTCAGTGTATCTTTTATTTATTTTTTCTGTTTTACTTATTTACTGATATTTTATGATTTTATGTTTTTTGCTTTTATTTGATTTTCCTAGTTTTATTGTTTTAGGATAAAATTTTAGCAATTTACCTTTTTGTTGTCTTCATTTTATTGATCTCTGTGCAGTACTTCGGAAAACTGCTTTGTTTGTAAAATGTGCTATAAATAATAATAAATGTATTTGGATTTGGATTTTTATGATAAATTTAGAAATCTTTTGTTTGACGAAAGCACCAGGACCCTGATGTTCTGGTGTAATGATGACAACAACATGAAATGGTTGTTATTTCTAATATTTATAAGTTGGCATAATTTTTGTTTAAAGCCTTGAAGAAACAGCAAACTAAACTGTTAAAATGAATTAATTTGTGTTTGTAATACACATGTGGCAACTGGCCCCATTGTACTTTGTTTGTGGTTTCTTATAAGCTCATGAAAGGGCTGGGCACATGTGTAGAAACAATAATAAAATAAAAATCAATTCAATTTAACATTTTACTAACAAAATGACAATGCTCACTGCAGCAGTAACAGAAAGAGGTGATATTCTTTCAATGCAAAGTCAATTGGAAACTGAGTTGACAGAGGCAGAAGCGCCTCCATGTTCACTTCCAGTCTATGTTTCTGTCTTAAGACGTAATAGAGGGAGAGGTGACAAGAATGTAGCGGAATACAAGCATCAAGAATTTTGGACTTCTGGTCATTGCGCAATGCATACTGGGAAAGGATTTTCCGAAAAAGTGAGCATCAAACCGCCATGTTTGTCTTCCCAGTGGGATGCGTCTATTGACAAAGCCAGTAAAATCCTGATACCTCGCTCTACCTTGGTTACGAATTTAAAAAGTCAAGGCCAAAGCAAAAGGCACCAACTGTTCACCAAGAAACACCTTCCACTGCAAAGAGACCAAGACATGATGTTGCTGTAAAAGCACAAGAACAAGAAAGTGTGAGCTCAGCCTGTTTGTCTTCTGCACCTCTCGATTAACAAACGGGATCCCGCTTTGATGGTGCTCCACATACTAAATGTTCGCTGCAAACTCAGGATGATTTAGGCAGTCAAAGGTTGGCTTTTTCGTCTTTCCTGTGGATCAATCCTGCCCATCGCCTTCGCCTTTCACTATTTTTCAATTTCGTTGAGAAGTGAAACAGTTTGAACAGAGGTTTGCACTCACACAGATCTGATTCCCTTTTGCAGATATGGAGTTCGCAAACTTCTGAAGCCCATTTCTTGAGCCATTTTCTAGTGTTAGGACATCCAACAACCACACAATTACGATGTCCAAATCCCAAAACTAAAATATGACGATATCAGAACCAGAAACAAAAGAGATATGGTTCAAAAGACTAGAAAAGTTCGGCTTTGTCAATAGATGCATCCCACTGGGAAAACAAACATGGTGGTTTGATGCTCACTTTTTTGAAAAATCCTTCCCAGTATGCATTGCACAATGACTGGAAGTCTGAAATTCGTCATACATGTATTGTATAAAAATATACAGAGATATGATTCTGGATTTGCCAGGCATGAGTGTGTCAGTTCCCCTCTCTAGTCAGGTGCAGTCCCCCTGTCTCCAGCATGTCTCTGTATTAGCAGCTCTGTCACACGTTTGATCACCTCCGGATGTACCAGACAGTCCAGTAACTCATTAGTGCTCACTGTAACCCACTCTACGCCTTCATTTTCCTCCTCTCTCTCCTTCAACCCCTCTCGCTCTGCTTCAAAATCCACAACAGATGCTCCTTGCCGTGCTCCCCTGGGTCTCTCCATATCCTCTTCTGTCGTCTGGCATATTTTTGCGTGTTTCCGGGCGCGTTCGTAAGTCTTTTCACTTGTTCCGGTTGGGTCTATAGATGTTTGACAATGCACGGGTACTAGATGTGGTCCAAAAGGAGGAGAGATGGGAGAAGAGGGATTTAAAATGTGTCCGGTGTGATTGCGTTTAGCAGACAAATGGGGGAGACGTTTAGAGGAGGGGTGTTTTTGATTGACATATCTCAGTGCGATGTTCAAGTCATCCATGTTGTCACTGTAAGACGGTACTTCAGGCTGGAAAAGATAGATAAATAAATAAATAAATGAATAGATAGTTATATATGTAGACCTGTAGTGTCAAGTTAATTAATGTACTGACTAAAAGCATGCTAGTATTTTACATTAAAGGGCCCATATTACGCTATTTTTTGGTCTACGTTATAATGCTTCCTCGTCAAAACAAGTTTTATTTATTTTTATTTATACATTTTTTTCCCGGTTACACTTCAAAGTAATATTCTTTATTTTTTATTATTATTTTTTTTAAAGGACAAAACAAAAAAAAACATAAAACAAAACACAAAAACAGCAAAAGCAACACCCACAACAAATACCAAAAAAATAAATAAATAATTTCCCCCCGACCACACACCCCAACACAAATTTGTCTAAATTAAACAAAAGTAATATGGTAGTGCAACATAAACACACCGCCAGGCCCCCTTAAGTTTTATTTTGTTTTTTTTCTCAAACAGAAAAAACTCTGTTCCAGCTTTTGATGTCATATGGTAATAGAGGAAATGTTCCACTGTGTTTTTAAACTCTACACACATTCACCAGAATCATTTGGATCATTTCAGTCCTGGAATTTCCATTCTCTACTAAACAAAAGAGAGCTACATGACATCACAAAAAAAGGATTGCTCAAACATGTGAGAATGAAACAAAACACAGCTCGGGTATGTTTTTGAAGAGGTAACAGCATTGCAACATGGCTAAATAGTCAATTTTGCGTAATATAGGACCTTTAACAAACAGAGTAAATACTTTATGTCAAATAATTATATAGCAGTGTCTTGCTCAAGGACAGCATTCACCTGTGAGAGCCACTGGATCTGACCTCTCTATGACCAAAGATGTTTATGTCAAGGTGAGATTCTAACCGGAGACCATCAGCTCAGGGGGCGAGCATTCTGCCAGCTGAGCTACTGTCTCCCTGAATGTAAAATCCCATTAGTTACCACAGTGGGGTTGAGCCAGACGTCCATGTTGTCTTCACTGGGGGCAGTTTTAAAGGCACAGACCACAGCTTTGGTCACAGCTTCACTGACTCTCGCCTCGTTGTCTTCGTCCTATAACAGAAACACATATTTGTCCTTTAGTCAGAAGTAGATAGAGCTAAGTTACAATGACTTCAGTACATTTTTTAAAGTAAAAATAATTTGTACTTGTAGTGTAACAGTATTCCTATTAGCGTAAAAGTTTTGGTTACTTTTTCCACTGTGAGTAAATCAAATCATGACAAAAGGTTTATGCTGACAACTTGAAATGATAACGATAATTAAAATATGAATATGTTACGTCCTGGCAGTTACTATTTTAGTTCTTACTTGCGAAATAATATTCCAAAATGCTTTTTTTTAAACTCTTATTCTTGTTACTTCAAAAGTAAAATAAAAATGTTTGGCTACGCTACCCACCTCTGTCTTTAGTGCACTTATGTAACCATAGAGAGCAGCAGCAATAACTACACACTACACAGCTCTTAAAAAATACAGAGATTTGAAACAAGTTACCAGTTCTATCCAGGTGTTCACACTGACAGTAACAGGATCCACTGACTCCACATAATGCCACCAGTGTCTGGGGACGAACAGCACCTGCAAAAAATAAATAAATAACATACAATAATAATGAAATGTGATAAAATGTGACTAAAAATACTGACTAAAACCACTGCAAAACACTGCCAAATTGAGGGTTTAGTTTTAGTATTGATTAGTATCTGGATTAAAAGTTGTGTTATTGTGCTATTGTTTTGCCACAAAGTTATTCAGATCTGCCAATATACAGTGTATATAAAAACTGACCTAGGCCTCGGTAAAACTGTAAACGCAAACTTTTTTTTAATATGCTGCTTTTCTTTCTTAGAATTCTGTCATTGTTTAACAGAGTTTGGCATTAGAAGTACTTTTTACTTCAGCCTAAACCCTTTCTGTCATGTCATGATCCAAATGAGGTCATCTATGTCTTTGTAGTTCTGCAAATGACAGAATAAACTACGACTATACTACTACTACTACTACTACTACTACTACTACTACTACTACTACTACCACTACCACCACTACCACAGGGACCTCAGTTAACTTTGATGAGAGGTAAGACTCTTCATATTTAATCAAAAATTACTATATTAATTAATTAAAGTGACATTGTAAATTTGTGTTTGCAAACTGACTTATTCTGTAACTTTGTGTAGGGCTAAGCAACAGAATTATGCTATTATTATTATTATCATTATTATTATTAGTAGTAGTAGTAGTAGTATTACCTTGTGTATGTTTGTAATTGGTTTTGATGTCTTTTTTTTGTTTTGTTTTTTCGTTAGTTCTGTTAGACCCCCTGAAGTATAGCTATGCGTATCAAAATAAAACGAAGTCCAGCACTTCTCTCTTCCTCCACTAGATGACAGCACGCCCCCATCTCTCTCCTGGAATGTGAGTTTATTAAGACAGACGTGTGTTATTGATCCTCGTGCTTCAGACCTGTCCGGGTTCATTCGTGTCTGCTTTTTGACAGAAACAGACACTGATTTGTCCTTTTTATTCACAGGATAACGCGACTTTGAGCGAACTCTACTGCATTATAATAAAAACTAAGCACCGAGGCCAAGAGCAAAGTACAGAGGAGCAGAGAATAATAATATGAGAGCTAAAAGGGCAAGGGGAGGTGAAGGAGAGGGCTGTACAGAAATAAACCGCTATATGTGCAACGTGTAATGTAAATAAAATCCTTAGGGAATAGAGATAAAAGGAGCGACAGAGATCCTTTGTCTAATGTCAAGTAAAAATACAGATTTTAAGTTGAGCAAGCCAGAAAAATATACTACTAGTCAAAAGTTTGGGCACACCCTTTCATTCAATGTTTTTTGTCTTTATTTGTTCTACTTTTTACATTTTATATACACACGGAAGACATCAAGTATGTGAAGTAAGATATATGGAATTATGTAGTAAAGAAAGTAAATAAGTTCAAATATTTTAAAACATTTTAAATTAAAATCCTCAAAGCAGCCATCCTTTGCTTTGTTGAAAAATATTTAGTAAAGCTATTTCACTTTGTTCCTTTGCTACATAATTCCATATATATTACTTCATATATTTGGAGTCTTCTGTGCAAGGCAGTAGACGGGGGAGAAAAAGGGGTCGGTTGTCTCGGGCCCCAGGGTTTTAGGGGCCCAGAATTGAACCCTCTTCCTATCAGTTTATATTAGAGGGGGGCCTATGTAAAGCTTCTCGCCCCAGGCCCCCAAATTTGTGTTGACGGACCTGCTTCTGAGTGTATATAAAATGCAGAAAATAGTAAATTTACAGGTAAAAAATAATATAAATTAAATGTACAGATGGTAGCTTTAAAGGGCTTTTTATTTGGTTTTAATGATACAAAATAAAATGTAATTGAAAATCAATATGGCCCAATATGAGGAAAAAATATGATTCTTTTTTTTGTCATCTTGCCCAGCCTTATCTACAAAACAGGCAATATTTAAAAAACCAAGTCCCTAGATCTGTAGTCCAAACCAGTGTGTCCACTTAAACAACTTTTGCGTTGGATCTGGTGTTTGAGTTTGATTTCAAATTCTCGCTGCTTTGTGGTGTTCTTCAGGAGCTGGAGCTGAGACAAAGTCATTAGCCATCTGTCTGCGGCCAGTGTCTGCTGCTGAGGCCTGCTGCCTACACAACACTGAGCCTATCAGGACGACTGCAGCCTCCTGTCAGAGAGGAGAGAGAGAGAGACGGAGGGAGAGCGGGAGGGAGAGGGTGAGGAAAGAGGGATGATGAGAGAAGAGAGAGAGACTGCTGCTGAGGATTGCTGCCTACAGAACTGAGCCTATCAGGACTACTGCATCCTCCTGTCAGTGAGGAGAGGGGGAGGAGAGTGGGAGGGAGAGAGAAAAAAGAAAAGGAGAAGAGGGAGAGTGGAGAGGGTGGTGGGAGAGGGGAGATAAGGGAAAACATGGAAGAAGAAAGAGAGAGATTAGAGGAAGAAGGGGAGAGGTGGGGGGAATAGGGAGAGGTGGAGGGGGTGTTGTAGAAGAGAGAGGAAACGTGAGATAAACAGAATAAGTAAGGGAAAAGAGGGGGAAAAGAGAGGGGCAGGAGAGAGGGAGGAAGAGAGGGGCTAAGGTAGATAGGGGAAGGAGAGACCACAGGAGGAGAGAGAGAGGAGGGGATGAGGAGAGGGATGTGGAGGAGAGGAGACTGAGAGATGGAGAGAGAGGAAGGGAGGGAGGGAAAGTGACAGGTAGAAGGAAAACGAGAGGGAGAAGAGGTATTGAGTAATTAGGATGCTCTGAAGTGTTCGAGAATCAGGAAGTGTGAGCTTAGCATACTTGTTGTTGTTACCATGATAGCAAAACTCTGCACTGGCCTCTGAAAGTTGATCAAAGTCCTTTTAAACTCATTCCGGCAAATAATTAGGACGCTCAGAATGCATAAGGTAAGTGAGGAATAACTTTAATAATTTAAAACGAAATAGTTCTGTTTTTCATGACAGTAAAAATCACGTACAGCGCCCTCACCTGTCCGGGCAGCAGAGTGACGCAGTGCGCACGGGCCCCTCTGAAGTCCTTAAACCGGTTGAGATCTGGGTTGAGGACGTCCACTCGGCTGAAGATGCTGGACTCTTCGTACGGGATCCTGGTCGGGTACAGCTTCGGCGTGTCCTCGGGCGGGAAGAGGCGCCAGCGCTTCCTGAAACAAAACAGAATTCACTACAAGGCTACACGCAGCATTCACGGGACATTATAACATCATAGAATCCCTGTAGTTTAAACAGATCTGGAGGACAGCTCAGAATTCTATGGTAGAAACATAGACTGTTTATGTAAATGGACATGGTTAACTTGCTAGCTCCAGCGGCTCCATTGACTCGGTTTCCAATTGACTTGAGACTTGACATTGAGAAATTGTCACCTCTGTAAATGCTGCAGTGAGCCTCGTCATTTTGGTCTTAAAATTTTCGTATTAATCCACTCTACACTATCCTGGTGGTTTTTTTAATCCATTTTATCCATTAATAAATTTCTATTCCTATGTCGCGTCGGGCTCCAACTCCGCCCCTATAACCCCTAGCATCACGAGCTTCATTTGACTGGAGCCGAACGCTGTGGGTGACATCACACTCGCTTACTCCGCTTCTTTATACAGTCTATGGTTAGAACAGGCTTTGTGCACAACAGCGCCCTGCAACCTCACTGTTAGCATCACAACTTCCTGCCCATTTTTATCTATGAGGTTTTTGCTGAGTTGTGCTAAAATGAATAAATATTTAAAGATAAGGCAGTGAACAGAGAGCTGTGGGTGGAAGTCACTGATAACATGTCAAAAAAGTACACAAATAAAATGAATACTTCAGCAGAGGACACTTCTGAGTTTAGAAAGAGATGTTTGTGTCTCAGTGCTAATGCTAATGCTATAAATGCATTGTACATATAAAAACAATGGGCTAGTGTCTTTATTAGGGTTAGTGTTACAACCACAGACTGGATATATGAATGGACAAAGCTAAAGTGCTAGCCACCGCGTTCCAAATAGGAAGTGCACCAGGAGGCTCTTCCGGCTCCTGCTGACCCTTGATTTACATTAGGATCTTATCGTCCTCTCTGTAACAGCTGCTGTGAGCTTTGTCATTTTGGTCTTAAAATGTTCGTATGAACCCACTCTACATGATCCTGAATTTTTAATTTTGCTATTTTGTCTCTGAATCAAGATATGAACATAAATAACAGACCAATCAGATGCCTTCATTCCTCGAGGTCACTCCTGCTGGCGTTAGTAACAGGTCTGATTGACAGCTAGTAGGTTTTGTTGCTAAGTAAGCCCCCTTGCTGCTTTCCAGTGAGAAGGGAGGACACATTTAACAACTTCAATTATGATTGGCTCTTTTAGTCGCTATGATATTTGCGGTCAGATTTCCAAATATGGAGCCTGGCTCCAATTTCACTTCTGTAACCATTAGCATCAAGAGCTTCTTTTGAGTGGAGCTGAATGCTATGGGTGACATCACACTCACTTAGTCCACTTTTTTATACAGTCTATGGTTGTAACTCTATATTGTAATCAAATCAAAGTCACATTTGGGTTTGCACAGTTATGAATTCGCAATAGCTGTTGTTATTCAGAGAATAAAATGCAAATGACAAAATATCCTGTCTTTTTTATGGAAAAATCTTGGATAACACTTATTCAGGCTTTATTAAAGCTATAAGTAATAGCCTTAATAAACCATGAATAAAGGTGTGAATCAGCCCTTAGTTCATAATGGACAAATAGTTAATAACCGAACGACTTTAACTTCTAACCTTTTAATTACGTAAAGTATAGTGACTAAGTCTGAATATTCTTAATAAACTTAGTTCATTATTAATTCAGTCTTTGTTCATGCATTATTAAAGCGAAGTCATTGTAAAGTCTTTGTTACCTACACTGTGGCTAGAAACTAGAAAACTGGCTAACAAACTGTAAGTACTGTTATTTTTAAATGGTAAATATTTTTTGGAAACTTTATCAATCCAAACGTCTGATGCTCTTTTTATCAAGGGCATCATTATCTCTGTCCTCCCTGAGTCACACATCAATGACTAGAAAAACAAACATCTCACATTTCAGTTTATGTTTGAAAACAGCAGGTATTTCATTATCAGTCAAAACAAATACAAACACTACTCTTTTTCAAGAAATCGCTGATAAAAACCTAAAGGGCAAATTGCAAATCAGAAACTGTGAAGCGCCTGTTTGTCTACGGCCCCATTGTGTCGAGTGTAATTTTGACAACATATTTTACTGTCGAAAATCTGACAGCGGGACCGTTTGTTTCTCTGCAGATCAATACGAAAGCATCAGGAGCCATTTTCAGAGATTGTGGAGGACGAGGAGGAGGGGAGATATGACCTTTTTAAAATGACCTCAGTGCGCCGGTCACCTCCACTTTTGGTCTTGTTTTGTTTTGTTTTGGTTACAACTACTAAAGCTCATGAAAATTTAAGAGACCAAGGCTCACAGCAGAAGCTAGATTTCACATTCTATAGGACAACAATATTTAATACAGATGGGGTCAGTTAAAAATGTATATTGTTAAAATGCAAATTTGTGTTGTAATGTTGAGTTATTGGGTCTGAAATGATAGAAATTATCAGCTTCAGTATTTGTGAATCTACCTTTTGGAAAACTCATGGCAAATACAATATTATCAATAGAGAAAAACTGTCCATTGCTCCCATCTGGGACTCAGAGTATGAGATCATCACATTTTAGAACCTGAAAATCACCAAGTTATAACAACAACCAACCATTTTTCAAGTTCACATAAAATAAAACTCTACTTCAAGGGCAACTATTAAGTAGTAGGGAGGGGACAAGATCTCGTGAGAAAAAATTGCCACAAAACTATACACACACACAAAAAATTATCTTGTGAGCTTTTTCCCCCTGAATTTACCTTTACCTTAGACAAAAAAAGAGTTAAGATCTGGCGAGTTAGATACAATTTGAGAATCTGTAGTTCCAAAAAGCACTGCTAAAGTATTAGACAAAATAAATAAAAATAGTGAAGTCAAAATTGTGAAATGGTTTGCACTGCTTATTTATTACACTTTATGTCAAAATCTTGTCTTGCCTCCTTCTTGTGGACCTAATCTCATGGTGTGTCTTGTCTTGTGAAAATTGTGTCTTGTCCCACCCCTGTTAAGTAGGATTCTGTTCAAAGCGCACATAATAAACAACTCCAGGAAAATTTGAGAGAAGACTGGAATATGAACTGATAAACCAATACAAGAATCACATGTATTTCAGAACATGTTTGTATAGATCTGAACTACAGGTTTTATATAAAAGAAAATATTTTTTTGCCTTTGCAGATTACATTTTATTTAAATAATTGCAGTCTTTGCAATTTGATATTTGCAATGTTTTGTAATTTTGATTTGATTGCAATATATTGAACCTTGAGCAAATCTATAATATATAAAATTACTTATTCACAAGCATTCTTCTGCTGCAGTTAGTACTACAGCCACTACTACAAATCTTTATCAGATGACAGTGTGTATTTCTCCAATGTCACTCTTCTTCGTCCTTGATTCTCTTTAAAACCATAATTCTTAATCTTATTTTTGTCCATAAAATCGGTGTATAAATCAGCTTTTATTCTTTAACATTAACATTTTCTCTCACCGTCCTTGCACTTGCAGTACCAGGTTGAACCCATAGGAGTCCAGATGACAGGGCGTGTCGGCTCCTTCTGTCCCGATCCACAAAGTGCTCTCTCTGCCTCCGCGACCCTCGAAACCAAAGTCACACCACCTGACGTCCTGCAGAAAAATAGAAAAATACAAAAACTACTAATACAACTTATAATACACCAAATACAGAGTTTAGTATATTTCCAGGGAGCTAGAATAATCAGATAACCCAATAATTAGATCTGATTTTTGGTGTGTGTTTACATGCACAAGAGAAATCAGATCTTGCCATTTTTTGCAAAAATTTCTTTGACTTTGACATGATTTAGCCCTGGTTTAGACCACTTGAGATAGTCCTGGTTTAGTCCTGGATTAGTCTAGCTGTTGTGGGATGTTCAAAATCTGCATTAGTCAGTATCTATCAAAGGTATTTAGTCCTGGTTAAATCTTGGATTAAGACCTGGTTTAGTCCAGGTTTAGTCCAGGTTTAGTCCTGATTTAGTTGGTTTAATCATGTCTTAGTTTTTGTTTAGTCCTGGTTTAGTTATGGATTAGTTCTAGTTTATTCCTGGTTTACTTATGGGTTAGTTCTAGTTTAGTCCTGGTTTAAGACCTGGTTTAGTCCTGAGTTAGTCCCGGTTTTGGGAGTGACAGCTAACCACATGAGAGATTATAATATTATGGTTTATTGATGTCAACTATTCTTAGACTAGAAACTTTTTACAGATAAAAAACTGTCAATCAAAAACCAATAATGCATTTTCAGAACTATCTTAAATAATACATTCATTAGCATATGAGCAGGTAGCTGAAAATTAAAGTGGACAATCTTAGCTTCGGGACGCCATCCATACAGCACCATTTATCCCTTTAAAATGCCTTCTTCCTCAAAGGCATGGATGTCAGCAGGTTGTAATTACAGGTGGACAGCCAATAAAATTTATCATTGAGGTAAAAATGAAATAAATACCTTGGAGAAGATTGCTTTTTTTCACGTTTTAAGCCACTGCTGGACAAGCTAATAATAAATCGCTGCAGGCTAAAGCTTAACATTTTAATTGAAAATGTCAAAACAGGGTAAAAAATGGGAAAAATAATGAAGGAATATATTGGCTTTGAGTTTCGTGTTTAATATGGAAGGAGGAGATAAGACAGAGTTTGCGTAAATATGACTGTTTAATTACAGGAAGCAATATACCAAGTTGTTTATCATTTGCTGGTGTTAAAAACTTTGTAACTATGTGTAATATGGGAGAAGTTATGATGCTGGCTTTTCCAATATTTGTTTATCTACAAAACAAATTATTAGCGGTGGAGGGACCTTGCCAAGAAGTCTATTACACTGTTATCTCTGGTCTGACACAACTTACTGTATTATGGTTTTGTAAGCAAGTATATGACACGTTTTTTTTTTTTTTTTTTTTACCACTGAATGGAGACGGCAGTGGCTCAGTGGTTAAAACATTCACCCCCCAACCCAAAGGTCAGTGGTTCAGTTTCCGTTGTTGTGTTCTTTGGCAAGACACTTAACCCACCTTTCCTGTTTATGACTGTGGTTAGTGAGTGATTGGTGGTGGTTGGCAGGGCAGTGGGGCTTTTTGTGTGTATTGACCAGTGGCAAGTTGGCAAGTGCATAGTCATTTAGTCTATTATAAAAAATGAAAATTAAAGATTTAAACTGGCAGCAGCATAAAGAAGAAGTCATGCAGTGAGTTAGATGGAGCTTTGAGAATTAACTGTTTATTATCTTTTATCATACAATTTACTAGTACTTTCTTTGTCTTGCCAGTGCACCTAGGGTCAAATACGCTACCAGTCAAATGTTTGGATGCACCTTTATCATTTAGTTTTCTTCCTTATTTCCATGATTATTTACATCCTAGATTCTCACTGAAGGCCTCAAAACTATGAATGAACATACAGAATGTAGCAAACACAAAATTAAACCAAAAATAACTCAAAACTTGCTTAAAAAAAACAACAAATTAATCACCCTTTGCTTTGAAATCTGGTTTGCACTTTTGGCATTTCTTGACCCTCCTTTTACTTGTGAAGTGAAAACCATTTCAGGAGACCTTATACAGAGGCTTACTGTGAGAAAGTCAAGGGTTTCCAGTGCTTTCAACAAAGCAAAGGGTGAATACTTTGAGGATTTTATATATATCTTGCATCATATATTTGACCTCTTCTGTGTGTATATAAAATGTAGAAAGTACTAAACATACACTGAATGAAAGGGTATGTCCAAACTTTTGACTGGCAGTGTATCTGCTCAGATCATAGAAACAGAAATAGAAAAATGTCTCCTTTCAGAGCTTTAACCATGTTATAACATTGTTAAATCATCAGAAACACACCCGGAGTTGTAAATGCTTCATTTGTGCTTGCTTCATGAATTCATGAATTAATTGAATTCTTTCCCAAATCCTGTCCCTCCGAATGCTCAAAAAACACATTGTTTTGAATTTTCCAGGATTGTTACATCACAAGTAAACATCTGGTGGCCTCCTGAACTCATGACCAGACTCATTTTCTGCTTTCAAATGGCATTCCCTGCAACTGCAAGCTTATGTTGTTTTTTTCCCTTTTTATGTGTAAGCAGCCATGTTTGTTTTTGAAGTAAAAGGACTGTGATTGGTTAAATCGTCTGTCACCTGTGTAAGCATGTTTGTGTTAGCATGTCGGACAAGGTTGCTGACCCTTTGGTTTGTTCTTACCTCAAACATTGAAGGCAGGTCTTCAAACACCTCTGCGATGTACTTGTAGTCTGCGTAGGCCCAGTACTCTGTTTTCGGAAAGTCACTGAACGGACCAACTTCTTCCACTGCATCTCCCTCTGCCCACCTCAAAAACTGACTCAGTGACGCATTCACATACGAACACTGCGTCTCAAACAAAGGACCTACAAAATAGAATAAAATAAACAATAAATGTTGTAAAAAAATGAGTGAAAATCTGATTCAAATGATTCAGTTTATGCAGAAAGTGACCGAAGCGGCATTACAATGAGCCTGCACCAATATATCACTAAGGAAGCATGAAATTTGGTTCAAGTTACTTTTATATGAGAAAAATAAATCATTGTGGTAGTGATTTTTTTGTTTTGTTTCAGTAAGCAAAGTATTGTACTACGGTTGAGTGCTGACATTTATAATCTATGCGTTTTTCCTTTATGTTTATGTGGCTCTCCTGACAACAGCTGCCACAGAAATAGATGATATAGGAATGCAATTAGCTTCCTATTTATTTCTCTCTAGATATGAGGCATTATAGAACTATTTTAAAGACACTTTTCTGGAGGAGAGTCTGTGGTCTATATTGGAGATGTTATTGCTTTACCAAGAATGTCCCACAGTATGGCTTTATTACTTCTCCATGAAGACAAGCTGAAAACTTTACCATGCCATGTTTTTCAAGGTACTTTTGAGCAATAAAATCCATGTATAACTGATTGCACAATATACATGTTTACTGTCATACTGTGGAACATTCCAGGCTAAACATTAAAATCTCCATGGAGACACCAGGTGATGCCACCAGGACAAATTACAGGTCAGATATGTGAAGAGGCAAGGTAGTATGAAAATGTGTTTTTCAAAGTACTTTTGAATAATACCATAACATAGAAATAAATGTATGTAAGATACGTTTATAGTCACACCATGGAACATTGCAGACAAAGCAGTAACATCTCCATGGAGACAAGTAAGTGCAAGCATATCCCCCAACAGAAAAGTTACACAGTGAACCTTTAACTGCTAGCAGGAGGTGTATAAAACTTCAGGAATCTGTTAATTTTTTATGTTGAGAAGTGACATTTGAAAGTGATCATTATGAGAGGTAATTGTCCCCTAAGGTTTGACTAACTACTACAATCTAATGAGCGCGTTCAAGTCTGGCAGAAAGATTGATGGTGCTATATGAAAATGCTAAACTGTTTTCAATATAAAATTCATCTTTCTTTCTGAACTAAAAAAGAAATATAAAAGTTGTGTTAGAGGAGACTGCAGAAAGATAACACCATTTTATGACACAAGACAAATGTATTTAACCATTAGTAATTGTATGACTTTGATTACTAGATTAGATTAACTGAAAAAATATTATTTGTGTGTTTTATAATGTAGTATAATTTGTATTTAGGCCTACCAATATGCATTAATGTATATGTGTACTTGTAATACATACAACACATAATACGTGTTAGAAATTATGTAGGAATAAACATGAGAAATAGTTTTACTACTTTCAAAGGTGCACTATGTAACCTTTCTGAATGTCTTTATGGAAGTGCATTTTTGAGCAATAAAAAAAATGTCAATGGAAAATCCTAATACAATAATATCTCTCCACTGGTTACCAAGTTCCGCCTTTAATTTCCTTATTAATAACTACAATAATAGTGCATGCTTATAGTTTAAACTTACCAAGTGTCAATGACCACAAAACATCTAAAACAATACTGAAGGTAAATATTCTATCAGAGACTTATTTAAACTCAGCACATTCACACATTTAGTCCTTACAGTTTGTCTTTTCCTTCTTGCCCAGCCTAAACCTGATCTGTTTCTCCTGATCTCTCTCGTCTTAGACATTGTGAGAGATGCTGTGCGGTCCACCCAAGCACAGGCCAGTCTTTGGTCATGTTTAAAAACACGGCCGGCTGCTGCAGCTGGTGAACGAGTCTGTACGCCTCATCTGGACTGAAGGGCTTCACAGCAGAGGAGTATGCCATGGTCTGAAAGAGAATAAACATTGTACATAGTTTTACTATTCATGGGTTTCAGAATGATGAAAAAGGATATTGAAGAGAAATCCAAGTTCGAAGAGTTACGTATTGTCTTCCATTTAACATGGTTAAATGTGGACACTAAAGCCAAGGTGTTTCCAGGCCAGCTGAGAGACAAAGTCCTTTCAGCGTGTCCTGGGTCCTCCCAGGGCCTCCTCTCTATGGGACATACCCAGAACATCTCCCACCAGGAGGGATACAGCCAGGAAGCATCTGGAACAGATGCCTGAGCCACCTCAGCTGGCTCCTCTTGACATGGAGGAGCAGTGGCTCTACTCCAAGCTCCTCCAGTGTTACTGAGCTCCTCACCCCCTATCCGCCGTCTTGTCCTTTCGATCATTACCCAAAGCTCATGACCACAGGTGGAGGTATGAATGTAGATTGACTGTTAAATCGAGAGCTTTGCCTTTGGACTTAATTTCTTCTTCTTCGATACAGTGACGACCACCGCACCACTCCACCTGTCAATTTCACACTATATTCTTCACTCACTGGTGAACAAGACCCGAGATACATACTTCTCCACTTGAGGCAGGGAGTCCCCACCCACCTGGAGAGGGTCCCTGCCCCAAGTAAAATTAGGACAGTTGCCAACATTTTTTTCATTCAATGACAATAAAGGAATCAATCAATATCTTCTGAATTGTGAAATTTCCTCAAAATGTCACCTAGTCATGGGTTTCAGCTTCAGGTTATTGCATGCAACATTTTGAAGACATCAAAAGACATAATATTTTAGTTTAAATTGTCAATGGCTATGGCAATGGTCCTAATTATTTATCATTCTGAAACTCATGAGTAACAGGAAGCTGAAAGCAATAAATAGATGGTAAAACCTACATAACCGATTATGTAATTTCCCCCTGGGGGGGGGGGGGGGGGGGACTGGTGTGTAGGCAAACAGGTTATATTAAACTCATCTCTTCTCATCTGTACAATGCATCTGTATAAATGATGAATGCAAGAGGATGGACTGCTGTTTGTTTCATTGTTGCTTCTGCTGAAATTTGAATTTCCTTCTTGATGAATAAAGTATCTATCTATCTATCTATCTATCAGAGCTAAGATCTTCAGACTAATTCATACACTAATGAAACCTACACATAGTTAATTTGAGCAGTTGTCACTGAGCACAATGCATGCATATGAATGCAGTTTACATTTAGTTCGGTTAAGGAAGACTTACATTTTCACTCTTTGCAGTATAAACCTCTAAATAGGTCTATCGCTTATCATGATATTAACTTGTACAGTAGTCCTTAACTGTTTTCCAAACCTTGTGACAAGTAGTTCATTCATCTAAAAGTTAATTTATGAGAGGATTACCATTTTGCTGACACATTGCGTTATCTAAGCAAACAATACCCCTGTTTTCACAACCCGATACTCAGAAAGGCAGTAGTAGGGTCCTTCTTGTTAGAAAAGGATACTCACCTTTCACTACACGTGCTGGTGGCGTTTTCACGGAAGTAAACAAACCTCACATGACACGACGAAGTTTCAAAATCCGCCTTTTCAACATTACAATGCAAACAACTCCATTTTGGCTCGTTATCAGCGCCTTTCCTGTATTCTACTCAACGCGATTTCTGATCCAACATGGCGTCCTAACATCTTCAGTTTCTTCATTCGCCCTACTTCCTGTCTGGCATGCGCAGTGCGGTCAAATGACATGAATCTGGTCTGTTTTGTTTTTGGTGGGCTGTCTTCCGTCGCGCTATTCGCATTTCTTCGGCTGTGACACGGAAAATCGGCATTACAAGAAGGGACTACGTTAAAAGACAGGATTATGGGTGCCGTTTCGAGCACCGAGGCGGAAAGGGAACCGCTTTTGGTGCCGTCTTTAGCCGAACCGAACGCACCGCCAGTCGTCCATGGCAGGGTATACAGGCGAAGATGGCTGGTTTTGGCATTGTTTTCTCTATTAGGACTAATGCAAGGGATGGTATGGAACTTTTGGGGACCTATCCAAAACTCAGCCATGCACGCTTACGGCTTCACCAAATCGGATATCGCTGTTTTGGTTCTTTGGGGCCCTGTAGGATACGTGCCATGGCTTCTTTTTATGTGGCTGATGGATAAAAGGGGTAAGATCTTTGGTACACATTGTTCTAGCCATGCACTGTGTTGTTTTGCTATTGCTTTTTAACTGTTACTGCACAGTACAATATGTTATCTTGTTAAAACGCAATGAATCATGAGGTTTTCAGAAATCTCTTATAGTTGACTAACTTATCTGGCTGTCTCCTATTGATGTGCTATAAGCTATGTTGTGTTTTATTTTATTTTAAGTTTATCAAATAGGGCATCCGTAGTGTTTTATCACGGATTTCATTCCAATCTATAGTGAATTTTCTATAGATAAAAATCCCGTTGAGCTGGTATGCCTGCTTTGTTCCACAGTGCAGCATTGAGGTTGTCTATGTCCATGGAGACAAGAAGGTGATGCCACCAGCCAGTTCGGTAACTGTTGTTTCCAAGATAGTTTTGAGCAATACAAACAACTTTGAATAAGGGAAGATGTGCTTTCATACCAGACTGCTATACATTCCAGGCAAAGCAATAAAGACAAGCAAGTGTCAGACCATCTCCCCTAAAAGTTACACACTCTACACAGTCTGTATCCACCCAACCCTAATTGTGTGCTTAAATGTGTGACATTCTTTTCACACATAAACCCCACCCTACCTGTATGTCTGCATCTGTCAATGTAAGTCTATTATAACACTAACTTCGAGTTACACCTGAGAAGAACAGTAAATGTCACAGAACAAGCTTCTCAACAACAGGTCCGTGTTTCAAAAGTGGGTCACAAGACACTACAGCTGATTTAAATCCAGGGTCAAATTTATTGGCTATGTTTATCATATAAATGTCCATTAAAGGCACACTCTAACTTTTGTCATGGGGGTTCTGCCAACTCCTTATTGCGAAGGAGATGTTATTGCTATGCCTAGAGTGTGCCAAAGCGTGGTATTGAACTAAGCTGTCTTCCATTTCTTCTTTTACAGGTGTAATGTATTGCTCAAAAATACCTAGGAAAAACAGGCATTCTTACTGGAAACGAGCCTGCCTCTCCAAAGACCTGACTTGTAACTTGGCCTGGTGGCATTATTTGCTTGTCTCTATGGATATTGATAAATGTAATGCCATACTGTGGCACATTACCGGTAAAGCAATAAAAGATTCATTGCAAGCAGGTGGCAGACCCTTTTGACCTTTGTTTTCCTGATTTACTAATACTATAGGACATATACATAATTATGACACCAAATCATTTAATGAATGATGTAATTTGATGATCATTTAGTTAAATTCATTATTTAATTTAATATATTGATATTCTCACAATAGGTCCATAGATGAAAATCCCCATTCTAAATATAGCTAAATAGCAGATTTTGGAAAATGAATGGAAGCTGCATACCTCCATCCAGCTCAGCCACCAATATGTTTATCGAATTAGTGCAAGTCATCAGCCTCACAAATCACATTAGCTCATAGTGCGACATTGTTTTAAACTCTGACATGACATTGACTACCAGCATTCTCCTATGACTATTTTAAAAACATGGCAATGTCAAAACTATGTTAACATTGTGTATTGTTTTCAGTCTTCAATCATTTAATTTAAAATTGTAGTGTAGAGTACAGAAAAGTTTAGTAGGCCAAATGCAATCAACTCATAACATCCAAGCCTGAAGCAACTAATGATGTTATCTTGTTTGCATTGCCTAATAACATGGTCGCATATAGACCTTATCATTATGAATTCTGTCATCTCAAAACGCACACTGCTGTTATGTCCTGGGGATAGATTGTATAAATGGATCTTTATACCTAATCTACAACTTGTCACCTCCAAATAGGAAGTGAGCGTGGACGGGCTTCTGGCTCCATCGACCCTGGCTCCGATTCACTTTCTATTGAAAAACCATTGCCTCTCCTTCTATAACTGCTGCTGTCAGGCTCATCATTTTGGTCTTAAATTCATATTAACCCGCTCTGCATGATCCTGTTTTTTATTTTGCTATTTTGTCCGTAAATCAAGAAAAATCCAAATAGCAAACCTCATTGACCTTCATTTGGCTGGTGCGTACGATATGGGTGATGTCACACTCCCTTAGTCCTTTTTTTTATACAGTCTGTGGTCCTGGGGCAAGGCAAATCGACCACATTGATCTACTAGTGCAATAACTTGAACAACTAACATTTGGGACAACTTACTGGGATATTGATGTGCAAAGAGTCTGCATCTTGTCATAGCTTTGCAATATGATATACTGTAGTAGTAGTATTGTAAAATCCTTTATTGCAGTATAAAGTATCACAATGGTGCATATTTTGTACAATATTTAATGTATTTACTATACTTTATTCACCAGGTTAAGTTATTATATTATAATCTTATTTTATATTTCATCCTTTATTTCAAAATGGTTAATTCATGGCCTGTTTGTTAGTATTGCTGTATTATTTGTAGCTAGAACTGGTCAAATACTTAATTTTGTTTTTAAATTGAAATCGAGATTCAGTTATTTTAATTGCTAATACTCAGCTTGTGTCTTTTTTATAGAGAGGTCTACAGCCAATTCTCTATGAGCAAAAGCTTGTGGTTTGGAGCAGAGTTCAGAGTTTGGTGGAAGAAATAACTTACAAACAATTGTTTAAAAGTCCATATTTTTTATGTTCAGAAACACCATTTTGTTTGTTTTTAATCAGGCAAAAAAAAAAAAAAAAAAAGAAGATTAATCAATATTAATCATTATTATATTATATTAGTGACATTTTTTGTCATAATGCCCAGCTCTATAAGATGCTTTTTAAAGGTGCAGTGTATAACTTTTCTGGTGGACTGTCCGCCAAATACTTTTCTCAATGGAGATGTTACTGCTTTGTCTGGAATGTTTCACAGTATGGTATTAACCCTTTCTGTCTTCATGGAGACCAAACCAGATCAAGTTACAGGCCAGATCTGTGTAGAAGTGACTCTGCTCACAGCTAGAATGCCTGTTTTCCTAGGTATACTTTTGAGCAGTTAAACCACCTGTAATTGAATAAATGTAAGGTAGAGCTGTTTAATCTCATACTGTAGAATATTCTAGGCAGAGCAATTACATATCCATAGAAACAAGCAGGTCCCCCCTATGGATCCCCTACCAAAAATTACACAGTGCTGCTTTAATGACACAACTAGGCCTGTCATGATAATTACTATATTGACTTATGGCTCAGTATATGAAAGATGGAACAGTACATTTTGGGTACTTTGGGGAAGTTTTTGTAATTTTTCTGTATTACATTTTGATTTCATCTGAAGAGAACTTCTATGATTCATTTTATAGATGTATCCTAACTTCTAAAGTATTTCATTCTAATATAAAAAGAGAGAAGTGAATTGAAGAAGTGAGAGCTTCTAAAGTCCATCTTAGGTGCTCCTCAAGGACAAGGCTCAAAAGATAACAGACAGTGAAGATGACCATGCTTGGAGTATAAAAACTTACTGTGATAATTCCAACAGAATGCCTCAGATTTTTTTGATCGCTTTTTACTCTATTATATTATATTTTACATAGCAGTATATCATACTTCAAAATATGTTATTGAGACACAACTTGTGAGAAACGGCTGACTTTACATGTGGGAATTTATACTTCGTAGAAAGGCGGAAACTGAATAACAGAAGTCACACATAGACGCATTATTATAAGCCCTGACTGTATTATAATCTGATCAGATGATGGGATGTAATATGGTGAAGTTATGACACGCTGAAAAACTGCTGAGACAACACAATAACTCACACGCACCAGTGATCCATGAGTCTGCGAAATGTCAAAGTCACTGTAGTGAAACCTGCTTCAGATATGGGTCAGTCCTCTCACATCAGCTACAGTCTATTGAACCTGGGGCGTGGGTGAAGAAAGCTTCATTCTGTTAATCCGGATAAAAAAATAAAAACAAATTATGGAACTGTGTACAGCCTGTGCTCCCACTGGTTAAAAAAAAAAAAAATCACAGCTGATTCTTCGGAGGTAGTGGAGTGGGGAGGGGGTCTTGTGCGAATCGTTTTCTGCTATGTCAAATGCGTCATAGGTGTAGCTGCCGCATCATCATTGTAGCAGCTTTAGTTCATTGTCATGTGGGAGGGTGGCAGAAATACGCTGCAATTTGTTAAAAAAAAGTCGAATCAACCTAAAAAACACGTCGGCTACATATACAAGGCCCACACATCACTCTTAGAAGGTAGAAAGCTCTGAAAAGTTGATTTTGCATGAGATGGGCCCTTTACTAGAATCATTTGGATCATTTCAGCCCTGAAATTGATAATCCTTACTGGGCAAAAGGTCAAAGGTAGCTGGTAACTTGAAAAACCACAGCTACATACCATCACAAGGTGCAACGAAACGTTTTGAGTGTTGGGGATGTAGACAGACTAATAATAAATAGTTACCTAAACATGTGTGAATGAAACAAAACACAACTCTGGTTATGTTTTTAATGAGGTAACAACATTCAAACGTGGCTAAAAGCTCACAAGAGTCAATTTTGCATAATATATCTCAGTATGTGCCATCCGGACAGGCCATGTCTCATGTGAATATTCAGAACCTCCAGGATTCCCTCACTGAGCTGCAAAGGCTGCACTAGCACTGACCTATGACTGGCTGCAGGTGCTGGGGTTTATTGAGGATTCAGATCAGGGAGTCGTTCAGGTTAAAAAAATGGATTTCAGCACTGAAACTGACAAATGTGAGAAACAAAACACTACATTATAACATAAAGAACTTGGTCATCTTGTTCAATATTTTTGTAATTAAGAATAAATCAGTTTTACAGTTGTTACCAGTAAAATTTTAATTTGATCTGATCAGTTTAGCTTCCACAGGTTATTGTAGTTTGCGATGACCTAAACAGGAAAATGACATTACATACTTCACAAAATGGTCAATTTTATGTCTTACTCAGAACAGGGAAGTGGAGAGTGTTTCCCTCAAAGACAGTCACATGCATGTAAATCTGTTGGAATGAATTTATTTGTTTGCTAGGTGTTGTCATAGAGATGGTATTTGGAAAGAATGGCAGGGTTTATCTTATGGGCCAATACAGAAAGCTATCTAAGAATGTGTCAATCATAGAACTTATCTGATGACAAAAGGGAAACTATACAGAGATGTGACGAAGCAAAATTACTAACAACAAAAAAATGCAGTGTTTAATTTGCTTTGATTTTAATTTCAGTTGGTAGTTCAATTCCTAGTCCCACGAGTGCTGTTGTCTTCATGACCAAGACACTTACCCAATCTTGTTTAAATGTCTTTATATTACATTATTTTTCTGGTGGAGTATCTTCGAACTTCCACAGTATGGCTTTAATCTTAATCTTGGAGATAACCAGGTCACACCAACAGGCCAAGCTATAGGTCAGATCTGTGGAGAGGCGACCTCACCCACAGCAACCATGTTTTTCTTGCAATAAAAATGAATAAATGATAGATAGAACTTTCCAGGAAAAGCAGTAACATTTCCATGGAGACAAGCAGGTGGCAGCAGACTGACCATCAGAAAAGTTACATATTGCATCTTTAATATGTATGTAAATCACACGGTACGATAAGATTACAGTTTTCATTTCACGATACGATATTATTGCAATATTGTGGAAATGCTATAGAACTGAAGAAATGCTACTTTTTCCTTTTAAAAAGCCTTGAGTTGGGGCTATATTAAAGGGACAGTTTGGAATTTTGGACATAGAACCTCATTTCCTAGTGAGCCAGAGTGTTGAAGACGTGTGCATCTTACCCACTCCACAAAGCACCTGAGGCAAAACAATTATAACGGCAGACTATTGATGTAAATGTCTGTGTCGGTAGAATAATTTTACAAGTAAAGCCAACGTTGCATTTGAAGGATTGATGTCTGAGCAGCAGCAGTGAGTTGTACTTCCTGATAGAAAGCTTGGCAGCGGCGGACTCATATATGAGAAAATAGTCCCTCAACATGCGATGATTCATGTGATGGTTAGTTTTATTTCAAATATTATTCTATCAACACAGACATTTACCTCGATGGTCTGGTGTAATAATTGTTTTGCTTCGGGTATTTTGCGTAGTGGGTAAGACTGTTTTTAGTGGCAGGATAACTATGGCCATTGGCAGGCACTAGCCTAGCACCAGCGACCTCTGCAAATGCAAGGACTGGATGGAATATTTAAAAAAGTGTCTCCACACGTCTCCTCTGGGTAACTAGGAAATGAGGTCCTATGTCCAAAACTCCGAACTGTCTCTTTAATGTCGTATTCCAAAGAATTAAGATCGAAAAGTTCTTCATAACAGCTATTTCTTCATGTTTTCTGCACTGAAGCAGAACGGTCACAGTCTGTGTAGTTTCCTCCATTATAAATAAATAATAAATAAATGCATTTAATGCATTCAATGCATTTAAGTAAAGAAGCTTATAATTTGATACAGTATATTGTGACAGGCCGTGATATTACTGTGAAAACTTTGACGATACGATGTCACGATATTTCGATTATTGTTACATCCCTGATCTTAACACATGTCCTTTTTGTGCCTTCAGGTTTGCGTTCATCTCTGCTCCTCTCGGGCTTCCTCATGTTGTTGGGGTCAATATTAAGAAGTGTCCCGCTGATTCAGGAGCCTCTCAGAAGATGGTAAGTTAAGCACTGTCGTTTGGGCTTTCCACTTCCCGAAGGTTTTATCACTTTAAAAACAAGCAAAGTTTATTTACAAGAAAGTTAATGTGATGCTTAAATTAAACTCAGTAGCGCCTTACCTGCCAATTAGACAGGTACACGGCTTTCAAAATTAATAGACTGGAAAGAAGAGTGGCAACATGCAGGTTTTTATTTTTCAAAAAATTGCAGATCAGAGCGGAGTTTTGCCTTCACAGTAATGCTAACAACGACTAGCTTGCTAACTCGCACTTCCTGATTATCAGACAATGAAACGCTTTATCATTTGATGCAGACAGTTCTTATACTAGGCCTGTCGCAATGAAAATATAGCCAATAACTGATAATAGTGAAACTAAATAAACAGTAACCCTTAAGTAGGACTATCCCAAAAATACTATTATAAACATATAATATTGTTAAAAAATACTGCTTACTGCTTATATACTTATACAATATATCTGTATCTGTATCTGTTTTGCGAAAACATGGAAAACTATTGGGTACAGAGCCTTTAATGGCAATAAATAATGAAGTCTGTATTGTTCGTAGACTGGACTTGGACGAACTTGGACGTAGACAAACTTTATAGATCCAAATATTGTAAGATTACATAAGAAAATGAATACTGAATTCTACTTGTATTTGATTTTCATTAATAAAAATGAAAAATGTGATGAGGAAAAACCAAAACATGACTTTAGTTTTGTAATACTGCCCAGCCCAGTGAGCCCATACTTCTGCTTCTTTTGAATAATGGTCCACAACTAGGAAACCACTCAAAGTGACTCCAAACTTTCGGTGTTTTTGTGGAAGTACAACATGTCCTTATCTCTAAAACAATCTTGTAAAGTGCACATTGTATCCTCATTAATTACACACAGCTAAGTTTACTGTCCCCATTGACATAAACAGTGATTTATCTACTACATTAACTACAGTGTTAGACCGCCATGTTCACTGCTGTTACTGCCACTTACCACCAAAGTGCTTTACACCAACAAGATGAATTTTGTTTTAAAAGCGCAACAGATTACAGAAGACTGGGAGTGACAAGGATGGATAGGAGCAAAAATGACAGCACATATTAGATGTTTGGGAGGAAAAAGTTTATGGAATTGAATGTTTGGACGTGTACCGAGGAAGGACAGTAAATATATGATACAGAAGAGAGCGTAAAGGCTGCATCAACTCAACACACCTTGGTGCCGTCGTTTTTGATTTATGGATCTGCATCGAGGTCTATGTGCCACGAAGTAATACACTGCCACATTCGCTAGGAGGCTAGGATTTAAAAATGCAGTTTGTGTTTACAAAATGAAGTGGGAAAACGGAGTACCGGAAATGTAGAGATGTAGAGAGGACCAATCACAGCCTTATCTGCATCACTTTCCTTGCTGTCTGTGTTGGTTCGACGAGTAGTTAGAAAATTTCAGAGGTGTACGTCGGTCGATGCAGACTCTCTGTCACAACACAAACGATTTGACACCTGATCATAAATTGGGCTTAACAAATATTCACTGTTAGCCAGGCTGGCGCCACCTAGTGCCTCCTTTCAATTTAATTTCTCTCCAACGACTAGGTCAGGAATCGGAATACACTAGACAGTTCTCAAAAACCCCGGAAGGGTGAGTTCAAGCACCAGCCAATGAACGAAGAACCATACGTTCTGTGTTGTCAGTGATTCCCAAGACGAGGATTTAAAGCCGGAACAAAGAGAATGTGTGGTGAATTTTATCAAGGGGAAAGACATTATTGCCCTTCTTCTTACGGGATTTGGGAGAAGCTTAATATACCAGTTAGCGGTGCATTACATACGTCACGACCAAATAGCAGCATTTGGTTAAATAAAAAAGTACCCGCCTACCGTCAAGCAAACAAATCCTAATGCTGTGAGGTCAGACGGTTTCTACGAAGTGAAACCGGCTGATGAATCAGGCTAATTCACTGTCCCTCCTCTGTACCATATATTTAGAGGAGAGAAAGTGACTATGGGTAGGAGAATGCTGTGTAAAGGTGCATACTTTTCTGGTGGACTGGTTGTCTGTTACACCAACTACAGTAACTTTGACCAAATCGATGCTTTCACTTGGGTACTTGCTATAACACATATAATGACCGGACCTGTGCCCACACTCCCAGGTCAGTGTGGCATTGATTTTAAAGACTTGTGGGACCCTCGCGAGTCCCAAACCGAACCACCCACCCATGTCTCTCCCTCACCTCCCTATCTTATACTGAACATGTGCTGAAGAGCTGAAAGGAAAGAGAAAAACACAGGATTACAATGCTGTGGAGGCTGAGGCATGCTGGGAAAGTCAGGTCTTCGTTCAGTTTATTGTTTATTGTTTTATTGTTTATTGGTACGATCCCCATTAGCGCAAACAAGCTGAGGCTATTCTTCCTGGGATCCGAACATGATAATTACACAAGAATGTTTACATTTTCATCCATATATAAGTTAATTAATACAACATGGCTAAGTATACATTTCAAACTGTAAAATCTTTCAGTACCTTCACTGACAACATATAAACTTTAATTAGTACTAAATTAATAAATACAAAAATGTATAAATGCACTACAATCTCGGCTCGATATGTTCAAGGAGACAACGATAAAATGGAAACTCAGCGCTTTATTTGATGTTCCATTGATGTAAAAGTACAGGCTATTGCTTGATTTTCAACCTGAAAATGACAGACTGCCTTCACAAAAGTGTCAGTGATGGAGAATTCTCAGTTAAAAGTCCTATAATACAGAAAATGTACTCTTGTGACCTTTAAGCCATGTTATATAATATTGTTACCTCCTCAAAAAATACTGGAGTGGTGTTTGATGTTTGAATCACACTTTATTAATAGTGTGTCTACTTCTTCACAACTCAAAATGAAAAACACATCTTAAATATGCAGGGTTTGAGTGTTAAACATGTGTGAATGAAACAAAACACAACTCCAGATGTGTTTGTGATGAGAAAACAACATTATAACATTGATCAGAAAATGGCGTAATATGGGTTCTTTAATGTTACCTTTAGCCTAGATATGAGTGATAATCTTAGATAGTAGTGCTTCCTATATCAAAACCATTTCATTTCGCCTCAAACTCCTCTCTGCTCACCACAGCACACAGAGGGCCTCTCATTATAAAAGGCTTTTTCAACAAACCATTTTCTATTGAATATTTCCAAGAGCTAATCTCCCTAATGATTCGAGCTGCATAATGAATACAATACAAGCACTATATCATCTATTACACTGAAAAGGCAGAAAATGGTGCTGGTTCAAAGGGCTGTATCATTTACTCATTGCATTATTGTATTTGGAGACATTTGAAAGAATACGCAAAGGAGTCTAAGCTGCTTTAGGATGAGTAAAGGGATAATAGACAATTTGGCTTGGTTACAATTTTATTCTGTTCAGACTAGTTCTAGTAAAATCAGTCAGAGGTTCCACACTTTAAAGGAACGAGCTATGTAACTTTTTTGCTGAGGGTCTGCTACCTGCCTGGAATGTTTCACAGTTTGGCATTATATCTTGCATTTATAAATTAATTATGAATTATCTTGATAAAGATTTCATGATATATCTGTTTAATGTTTACTGTGGAACATTCCAGGCAAAGCAGTAATATTAACTGTATCTTGCATGTCTTCAATTCCAGGTGTTTTTATTGAGAACATGTATTATTATTACTGTGGCCGCCTCTCTGCAGATCTGACCTGTAACTTGGCCTGTTAGAGTCACCTGCCCATGGAGACACATGACAGACCCCATACCAGAAAAGATGCATAGTACATAGGGATGTAACAATAACTGAAATATCGTGATATCATATCACCAAAGTTCTCACTATAATATCTACTTTCTGTTGCACATAGAGTATAACAGTACAATATATCGAATTACAAGTCTCTTTGCTTAAATTAAGAGTTATGGTGCAGCAATAGCTAAAAAAAAAAAAAAACGACAGAGGGAACTACATAGACCATGATCATTTGCTCCATTTCAGTGTAGACTACAAGATGAAATAACAGTTCTAAGCACTTTAAAGTCTTAGTTTTTTGGATTAAGTTTTGTCTGTTGTTGTTATTATTTTATTGGATATTGTTACGTCCCTCATCGTGAGACTCTCCACCATATCATGAGCTTTCCCAGGATATCGCAATAAATATTGTACCGCGAAGTTCATACCGTGACGATATCGTATCGTGAGACTTGGGTATCGTTACACCCCTAATAGTACACCTTTAAAACACAGAAAAACTTCCTGAATTACCACCTAATGATATCACAATGTGTTATATTCTTTATCCTGCTGTTTTACATCACAAGGTATGCTCTTGAACTTGTAAGATTTCTTCACTGTAACTAAGTACACTTGAGTCCTGTTTGGTACATTTGACTCTTAAGGGGCCCATATTACTCCATTTTCTCATCTGTTGTAATGTTGTTTCCTCGTCAAAAACACACCTGGAGTTGTGTTTTGTTTCATTCACATGTTTAACACACAAACCCTACATATTTAGGCTGAGTTCTTCTCTCAAACTGAAAACACTCTGTTCCACCTTGTGATTTTATGTGGTAATAGAAACTCCATACACGTTCACTAGTGTCATTTGGATAATTCCAGCCCTGGAATTGCCAATCTGTACTGAACTAAAGGTAAAAGGTAGCTGTTAACTTGAAAACTACCACTAAATGACATCACAAGGTTGAACAGAGCATTTTGAGCATTACAGATGTAGACAGACTAATGATAAAGCACTTCTCAAACATGTGAATGAAACAAAACTGAGATGTATGTTTTTGAGGAGTTATTAGCATTTTAACATGGCTTAAAGCTCACAGGAATCACTGTGATAATATAGGACCTTTTTAAATCACACATTTTCCAAGTCACTGCATTTCTACATTTAAACGCCCCATCCACCAGACTGAGCTGTTTATTCAAGCTGTTTTGCAACTTTCCTCAGG